AAATAGTGTTGCCCCCAGCCTCCACTTGAGGGACACCATTTCTTACTGGTTCCCACCTGGACACTGAGCCGTAACTATAACTTTGGCCACCCAGCCAATTCCTTGTTCTTCTAAGAGTCCATCCATCAAACCAATACCTCCACAATTTGGTGGAAAGACTCTCATGGGGGACCATCCCACAGGCCTTGCACAAGTCCAGGTGGGTGACACCAGTAGCCCTTCCCTTGTCCACCAATGCGGCCACTCCATCATAGGCCACTGGATTATTCAGGCATGACTTGCCTTCAGTGAAGGCAACCTACCTCTTTCCATGTGCTTCAACACAGACTCCAGGAGGATTACCCTCTCCAAATGGCTGGAGAAATCCCAAAATCTGGCTCCTCCCTCCACCAGCCACTCTCCCCACAGCCCCAGGCCCCTCCACTCCTGCCCTTTGCCTCAGAAACAACCAGGCACTTTGGACAGAAATGCTTTTTCATCCGAAAAGTGCCAGTTCATCAAAACACTTCCCAAGAAAAGGTCACTTCGGAGGAATTTCTCTTTCCAAAAACCTTGAGGGGGAAGAAAAAAAAAAAAAGAAAAAAGAAAAAAAAAAGACATGCGATGGTTTAACTATCCTGTTTCAACAGCTTTAAATGAAAAAATAAATCTTTTTTTTTCCCCCCATGGGTGCCAAATGACTTTTCATTTGGAAATGGAAGATCATTATCATCTTCAAACAAAATCAAACAGAAAAGGGTGAAATCAAAAGAAAACCTCTGGAAAATGTTAAAGTGAAACACTCGGCCGGGCCCGGAGCAGCAGGCTGTGCCCTGTGGGGTCCTGGGGTGCTCGGCATCCCCGCTCGGGGCGGGATGGGATTCCCAAATCCCAGCGAGCATCTCGGGACAGCAGAGCCGTGTCAGCTTTGGGCAGCCCATTTCTTCATGCTTTGGCCCCCCCTGGGTCGCCCCCGTCCGGGGCACGTGCTGGCAGCCCCCAGCCGTCACCCCCAGCCCCCAGCTGTTACAGTTTAGGCTGCGTGGGGAGCGGGAATGCCAGCAATCCGGCATCCAGAAGGGGATCCAGGCCCCGCTCAATATTGAAAGAAGAAGGGCTTTGAAAGGCGTACGCTCATTTTCCCGTTTCGTCCTTTGCCAAGAAAACCGGGGGGATGGAGGAAGGGGCGAACGGCTCAGGGAGGGGGGGGGGGAGCAGTGGAAAAAATGTCTTGGCTGGGCCCTCTGTGCCTTTTATCTCGTGGGCAGCCTGCCGAGACGGGGTCTTCCCCCCGCTGAGCCCGCTGGCAGATCAAACAGGAGCAGAGAAGAGTTATAGCCCCCCCGCAGCCCCCTCCCCGCCCGGAGGCGAGAAAAGGAGAGGAAGAAAGAGTGAGCGGCCCCGCGATGCCCACCATCCTGCCCCAGCCTGAGGGGCATCCACTCAGCCCCAGGCACCCCCAGGGACCCAGGGGTGGCTGGAGGGGTGGTCTGTGCCCCCATGGAGGGGGCAGCGCCGTGGCATGGCCTGCAGCAAAGGGGAAGGTCAGCGGTGGCCCCCCGAGCATCGCCCCCGTCCCGCCGTGCCCGCTCCCCCGTCGTGCCAGACCCTTCAGAGCCGGCGTTGAGCAAACAGCCTAATTAAATGCCTTTATTCCAAGGACTCCCTCTGTGTGTTTGTGTACTTGTGGATTAGCAGTTAATACAGTAAGAGGCTTTATTGCAGCTAAATTGATTTCTTCTTTTTTCTTTCCCCTTCCTTCCTTCCCCTGTATTTTCCTCTCCCCACTCACCAGCCCGTCCTCCCGCGGGGACCCATCGCCTGCACCCCCCATCGGGGCAGAAAAGGTTGTGATGGGGAGCAATCACAGAAAACCCTGGGGCAGGGAGAGCTGTGGGACTGATGCTGGGGGCTGATCTGAGGCTGATGAATGCCATCTCTGCCAGGCTGAGACCCAAGCATTGCTCCAGTCTTCCCAGGATGGGCACAAAATGGTACTGCTCCTGCTCCTGCTCCTGCTCCTGCTCCTCTCCTCTCCTCTCCTCTCCTCTCCTCTCCTCTCTCCTCCTCACTTCTCTCTCTCTCTTTCTCTCTTTCTCTTCCTTCCTTCCTTTCTTCCTTCCTTCCTTCCTCACCTCCATCCCTCCATCCCTTTCCCCTCCTTCCTTCCCAGCTTTTTCCCTCTCCTTCCCCAGGCAGTGGGAGCCGAGGCCATAATTAAACTTGGCTGGGAGGCACGTGAAGCAAAAGGCTGTTAAAAAAGAGAAGAAACGAGGGTACCTGTGGGATTACACGAGCCAGAAAAATGCAAAGCCGGCTTCCAGCCGCCCGTAAAATAGATGCCGTCTCCTTTCCCATTGGCAGGGTTTGGCTGCGCACAAAAAGGCTGGGAAGAGGATTTTATGGGAGTTATTTATAGCCTGGATGAGCAGCGGTGTGTCCGTCCTGGATTTCTGCCTCTCGCCGTGTGCATTGCCACACGGGGCTTGGGACAGCCCCGGGGACAAGCGAGGGGCTGGCCACCAAGCCAGGGCCACTTGTGGGACAGCCCCCGTCCCCTTCCCCAGCACTGCAGGGCCTTCGCTCCTGGCCATCCTCTTCCTCTCTCACCAGGTCTCACGGATGTCCCCGTGGATGTCTCCATGCACACCAGGGGCCAGCAAAGAGCTTCCTCTGCACCAACAAAATAAGTTTAAAAGCGTCACCAAACTCTGAGTCAGGCTCCACAGTTGGCACTTCGAGGAGCACGTTCATTAACTAAAGGGTGGGGGGGGGAGGAAAGGGAGAGAGGAGGGAAAAAAAAAAAAAAAAAAAAAAAGATTACCTTGCTGAATTAATCAGGCTTCACTGTAATGTTCAGCCTCGGATTTTATTTCCTGTAATAAGCCCATTAATACGGGTGTCTATAGCGGGGGGCTTTTAGCAGCAGGCACCATTAGTGTAACGAGGAAGGGCTAATAGAGTTTTATTGGAATTTTTACTCCGACATCACAGCCTTTTAAAACAGCTGTCTCAATAGGCATTATTATTCTGATTAACATTTAGACAGCACAAATCATAGCGATGCCCTTGGTGTCCCACAGGTTTTATCACAATCACGGCGAGGCCCCGATGCGCCTGCTGGTCCCTGCCGGGGGGGGACAGGGGACGGGTTACGGGCTGGGGGTCGCCTCTTTCCTCCTGTGCCAATATTTCGGGAACTTCTAAGGGCCTGGGATGGAGCAGGGTCCTGCTGTTACCGAAATGCTACGGGAGCAGCCAGAATTGGGCACTTGCTTTTTCAGCATCCCTGATCCCCGGGGGGATTTGCAGATGGGGTGGAAAGGGTCACAAAGCAAGCAGGGGGGGGGATTTATAAGGGTGCCACTCCTGAGGGCTCCTGCCCATCCCCAGCCTTGGGCACAGAGGAAATTTGGGGGGACCCACTGCTTACTGACCGTGCGGATGCTGCAGTGTGGTGCTGTTTGATCACCTGCATGTCTCAGGTGATGACAAAGGAGATCCCATGGGGCTGGGCTGCTGGAGCACACACGGAGCCCGGACACCCGGCTGCGGTCCCATGGTCCCCAAGTCTCTGGAAATCCCTTACGGGGAGGTCTCAGGGACCAGCAGCCCAGGAATAGACACCAGCTGGCGGAGACACGGGCAAGTCACCTCCGAAATTGCTCCAAAATGGTCTCAGCCCCTTGGCAAGCCCCTGCCAAGGCAGCTGCCGAGCCTGGGGTGATGCTCCATGCTGCCCAGCACAAGCTGGGTGCTGTGCCAACAGCTGAAACAGAGTTGTTTTTTTTTTTTTGCTTTTTCTTTTTTTTTTTTTTTTTTGCTTTTTTGCTTTTTCATTCCCCTGGCATCCCAGGTCTCTCCCTAGCACAGAGCCGCCTGCTGCAGGGCAGGAGGATGTTTAGCATCTGCTTAAATCTTTTTAAATTGTTTTCCATGTTAAGCACCCGATGGTGCCTTTCGGATAGGAACACAGGGATTTGGGCTGCTCCCTTCCCCCTGGAGAAACAGGGCCTTCCTCCCTCCCTTCCTCCTCCTCTTCCTTCCTCTCCCCCTCCCCTCCTTCCTCCCCCAACCCCTGTCTCCATCAATCCAATCACAGGCAACAGGAGGCAAGGAGAAACTCGACAATAAGGGCAAAAACAACACTAAAACCAGAATGAAATGACTGCCATAAAGCCGGTACCAGGAGGGACAGTAAAAGTGCACTTGGCAGGAGCCAGCAGGCCTGCACTAATACATTTTTTTTTCTCTGATTAAAACGCTCCGGTCACAGATTAACTTCCCTTATTTATTGTCTCACCTGTGCAATGAGGAGATGGGGGGGGGCAGCAGGATTTGGGGCTCGGGAGGTGGCACCAAAGGGATGAGCTGAGCCCTGGGGACACAGGGCTGTGGGATTTGGAGGGAGGTGGTGATGCTGGGGGTCTCCCCCGTCCCCAAGTCCCTACAAGCAGTCCCCACAGCCCCCAGGGGCAGCCAGCCACCCCTCAGCTCCACACCCAGCTTCATCTCTTCCCCACAAATCACTTCTTTGCCTTTCTGATTACAACCAGACTGCAACTACTGAAACATAAAAAGGCTCCGGGGCTTTATAGTGCGGCAGCGATGGTTCCTACAAATTGCAGGGCATTTGCATCCCCGGCTGCACCAGCACCCCGCCTCCCTACACCGCAAGAAAGGCTCCGTCTCTCCCTGCCAGGCTTCTCCACCCCCTCACACAACCTAAAAATACCGGGGTATTTGTACCAGGAGCATCCATGGGTACAAATACCCCGGGATATTTGCACCAGGAGCATCCATGGGTACAAATACCCTGGGATATTTGCACCAGGAGCATCCCCGCTTAGAGCTGATTTCCCCACTGAATTTTTCACATTTTGGGGGTGGAAAAAGATTGAAACCAAACCAAGGGAAGCCCGTGCAGTGTCTCAGTGCCGTTCCAGCAGCCGCTACCTGCGAGCAGGGCTGTGCTCCTCAGCACGCCCCGGCTCCCATCCTAAATCACAACACAACAAACAGGCTGTTCATTAGGTGCTGTTTAATTAAGCAATACGGATCCTGCCTTGATATTTACAATCCCACTCGCTCTGATTTATTGGAGAAAGCATCTCGCTTTTAAAGACGGCGACTGTAAAGTTTAATACCGCTTGACTTACTGCGAGTTTCATTTACGGCCCCGGGCTGACGCGCGGCGGCCCGGGCTGGGAGCCGGTGGGCTATTAAATCAGAGCTAACTGCGTGTGCAGGGGGATGACGAGCTTCGTTACAACCGGTTCAGCGGCTAATTACCCCAATCTGGATCCCCACACTTAAACCGATTCGTCGCCGCTTTGCCAGGGAAGAGCCGGGAAGGGGCGAGGTGGCTGCGGATGCACTTGTTGCGAGGAGGAGGAGGAGAGGGGAGGAAGGCAGTGGTGGGGTTACCCCAATCGCCTCCTCCCAAAAAACTTGGGGACCCAAGGGTCAGTGTGGGGGATGTGTCATGGGATGGGGACAGCATCGGCACAGACAGGGCCGTGTCCCTTCCCACCAGCCGCTGCCTTGGAGGAAGCAAATCCATCCTGAGGAGGAGAACATCTCCCTGCTCACGGAAGATTTCTGGCCCCCACGGGACCACTCTCAGCCTTCACAACAATACGGGCCTCGTTAGGGAGTTATGAGAATGGCTCTTTGGTGATGATTTAAAAAAAAAAACTGCGAAGATGCAATGACAGGTGGTGCTCAGCCCCATGCCACGGGGCAAACCCCAAAACCAGTCATGGGGCATCACAGGACCTGCTCCTGCACAGCCCCAGGGGCTTGCCCAGGGCAAGGGGCTGCAGGGGGGGAAGCAAAGAGCGTGGAGCTGCCTGAAGCATCCCCCAGCCCACCCCAGGCACCAGGTGCTGCTGCCCCACACCGAGCTGGCCCCCCAGCATCCCTGGTACCCAGGCAGGATGAGGGCTGCAGCCCCAGGAGGTGAGGAGGAGGAGGAAGAGGAGCAGCTCCTGGGCTCGGCAGCTGCAGGGAGGCATCCAGGCAGAGAGTTTGCCATCCCTCAGCCCTGCCCTATGAGGTGGATGCACCCTGGGCAGCACAAAACCTCCTCCTGCTTCCCACTCCTCCCAGCCTGCAGCGCTCAAACAGGCCCAGAGCTCCCCCCAGGGAGGAAGAGGAGGCAATGCAGAGACAGCAGCGAGCAGAACAGGGCTGCAGGCACTTCCCCCTGCAGACCCCAGCATTATCCCCAAAACAGCTGAGGTCCCCACCAGAAAAGACCCCAAAAGCACCAGCGACACCCCACACAGCGCCAGGAGCCAGCAGGGCACAGGCAGAGGCACTTTGCTCTTTGGATTTATTGCAGATGCTCCGTGGCATCGTTCCCAGTCCCACCAGTGAGACTGGACTGGGAGGAGGGTGTGAGCCCCTCACTTTGGAAGCAGGAGGAGCTGCACCACTCGTGCAGGGATGCTGCAGGATTGGGACCGGGGTAGCCAAACAGGCAAAAGCCACCCCGCAGCGCCAAAACCCAACAGAACCAGGCTCAGGAGGGAAAACAGAGGGCTCACAAGTGACACGAGCTCACCGGTCTCAGCTCCCACCACCCCCAGCCGGCCTCAGACCCCGCACTCCTCCCCATCACGACGTCTCTGCTTGTAGTGCACCTCGGGGAGGCTCCTCAGGCGCTCTGCAGCCTGCAGAGACCAAACGGGGGGGTTGCTCAGCGAGTGCCCGGTCCTGGGGACAGTCCCCATCGTGGGTCCCCTCCACGCTCACCTGCTCCGGGGTGAGGTCCCGCTGTGCCTGTGCCAGCATCTCGTAGCCCACCATGAACTTGCGGACGGTGGCGGAGCGGAGCAGCGGGGGGTAGTAATGGGCATGGAGCTGCCAGTGCCTGCAGTCCTCCTGCAGGTGGGGACCCGTGGGGGCTCCTGATGAGAAAAGGGGGTCAGCCGTGGTGCCAGGGGATGGGGGCGCAGGGGGATGAAGCCCCCCTGGGGGTGCAGAGGGATGGGGACGCTTACCGTGCCAGCCCATGGAGTAGGGGAAGGAGACTTGGAAGAGGTTGTCGTACTTGATGAGCAGCCTCTGCATGATGGAGGCCAAGCCTGGGGGGGGTGGGCAGGGTGTCACACCCCCAGCTGGCCAGCACAACCCTCCCCCAGGCTGGGGGGACGCCGGTGACAAGCAGGAGGGATGCACCAGCCACGTCCCTGCTCCACATCCACGCAGACAGCACCCTGAGAGCATGGAGCGCCGCGCCCCTCGTCACCCCAAAAAGGAGCACGGGCCCCCCGCCAGCACCCATGGGCCTTCCTCCCCAAAACCACTGAGCCCAGGGGACGTGGGGCAGGATGTCGGGGTCACTCACTGTCCCTCTCGCTGTCACGCAGGTCCTGCAGGCGGAGGACGTGCCGGCGGGGCAGCAGCAGGGTCTGGAAGGGCCAGGTGGCCCAGTAGGGCACCACCACCAGCCAGTCCTCGTTCTCCACCACCAGCCGCTCCTGAGAGACACGGAGCTCCAGGGAGCCACCCGGGGACGGGGACATCCCACAGCAGGGGACAACGGGACGAGAGCCACCTCCTCACCTTGCGGCGAGCCTCCTGCTCGGCGTACTCCAGCAGCATGGGCACGCCGTGCCGCTCCCGGTACTGCCGCTGTGTCCGCTCCTCCAGGCGCGCCTCGTTGGGGAGGAAGCTGCTGGCCCACACCTGGCAGGGACATGGGGGATGCTGTCACCTGTCCCCAACGAGCCTGCTCCATCACCCCACTCACAGACCCCAAAATATCCCCCCGGGGAACTCTGGGCTCACGCCTCCCCCCAGAGAAAAACCCAAACCCTGCTCATCCGCAGGTCCGTGCTGCCACCAGGTGGGCAGCGCGACGAGTGGCAGCAAGGGACGGTCCCCAAAGGAGAGGGGACAGGACGGGCACCGGCTGGGGGGCACCCCACTGCAGGGAGGATTCGCGGTCGCATATCCCAGGGGTTTGGTGCCGTAGGGTGAACGCCGTGGGGGCAGCCTCACCTGGCAGTGCGGGTGCGGGTTGGAGCAGCCCATCATCTCCCCCTTGTTCTCGAAGATCTGCAGGAGGAGGAGAGCAGGGGACACATGCCAGCACCCGTGTCCCCACTGCCGGCCACCTCGGTGTCCCCGGCACACCAGGATGAGCGTGGCAGGGGCACAGAGCCCCCAACCCACATGGAGAGGCTCGGGGAGGGGTGGCAAAGCAGGGACAAGGGACCCACACCCAGCCACGGGGTCCCAACCCTGGGAGCTACCCGGGCACCCACCCACGGGGCAGGGAGAGGGGCCCCCCCGTCACCCACGGACCTGCACCCAGGGGTAGGAGGCCCCCAGCTCGGCCGCCAGCTCTGCCCAGGCGTCGATCACGGCGCGGATCTCCGCCAGCGACATGAGGGGCAGCGTCAGGTCGGACCAGGGGTGGAAGCACATCACCTTGCTGCGGAAAGGGACGCATGTGGGGCGCCCTGGGGACCCCCAGGGACCCCCGTGGCCCTGCTGGGGAAGCACAGCACCCCAAAAAACCGAGAAGATGTGTGCAGGAAAGCAGAAAGGGAGCGGGCTCCGTCCTGCTTGTCCCAGGGATGTCACAGCTGTGTCCCCCCCCTCCGAGTACTCACCACACACCCCGGGCGGCCGCTGCTTGAAACAAGGGGTGGTCGCTGTCACCTGGGGGGGACAGAGAGCTGGGGGGGCCCATCCCCTAAGGACCAGGGGGTCCCCAACACCCCGCTGTCCCCCCAGGACTTACCAGGTGCGGGGGAATCAGGCTGCAGCGCAGGGAAATCATTGGGGAAGACAAAAGTGCCCTCGTAGTGGGGGTTCACCTGCAGGAGGGGGAAGAAATTAGGGTCACAGTGGGGGGGGGCACAAGGCAGAGGACGGGGTGCGGGTGTCGGGGTGCCCGGCAGTACCTCGCCATTGGCCCGGGTGGCCCCGGGGCAGAGGGGGTTGGCGGGGTCCCATCGGGGCACGTCCTCGGTGGGGGGCTGCTCCAGCTGCCCCCGCCAGGGCCGCCTGACGCGGTGTGCGGACACCAGCACCCACTCGTCCCGCAGCGGGTTGTGGCGGCAGTGCTGGTGCTCTGTGGGGCGAGCGGGGGGCCGTGGGGTCACCCACGGTGACAGGGACACGAGTGGGGTGGGGGGGAGACACGAGTGGGGTGGGGGGGATGCACATTGGGGTGTGGAGGATCACACAAGCAGGGTGTAGGGGGACATAAGAGGGGATGAGAGGGGACACGAGAGGGATGTGGGGAGCACAAGTGGGGATGTTGGGGAGCACGAGTGGGGCGCGGAGGGGCAGGCACGGGGGGCAGTAGTGGGGCACAGAGGGACACGAGTGGGGCGTGGGGGTGGAGGGGACATGCGTGGGGGGTGGAAGGGACACGAGTGGGGCGCAGAGGGGCACAAGTGGGCGACGGGGGGACACCGGACACACGATTAGGGAGCGAGGGGACACGAGCAGGGTGCGGGGGGAGCCACGCGTGGATCTCGCACGCCCCCTCCTCGCCCCCCGCCGTACCGCTGGCACTGAACCCCCGTCCCCCTCCGGCTTCCTCCATGCCTCCACCACCCCGGAAGCCTCCGAGGGCCCTTCCCCAGCCCTTCCTTCCCTTCCCTTTTCCCCGTCCCCTCCCCGGTCCCTCCCCTCCGCGCCGGCGCAGGCGGGCGGGGGGCGGCGGAGCCTCGACGGGGCGGTCCCGGGGCGGAGCGGGGCCGCAGCCATGGGGGTGTCGGGGTCGTGGGCGCTGCGGGTCGGGCTGGCTTTGGGGGCTTTGGCCTTGTTGTTGCAGGGTCTGCGGGGCTGGCTGGCCTGCAAGAGGTACGAGTTCCAGCCCGCTGAGATCGCCCAGCTCGCCCGGCACCACGCGGGTAGGTTTTGGGGGGGGCGGCAGGGGGTGGGGAGGGGGTGGTGGTGGTGGTATCGGTGGGGCAGGGTCGCTGGGGTCCCGCTGGCTGCCCTGTAGGTGGTGTGAGGATGGGCGTTGGGCTAAACAGCAGGGATGGGGGAGGGCTGGCACAGGGAGACCCCCCCCCCCCCGAGGGATGCGCTGGGACCCCACGGCTGGCTATGGGGTCGTAAGGGATTAGATGGGATCCGAGCCATCTAATGTGCTGCCGCAGGGCTGGACCATGAGCTGGCGTTCTCCAAGATCATCGTGGAGCTGCGGAAGAAGCACCCGGGCCACATCCTGCCCGACGAGGACCTGCAGTGGGTGTTCGTGAACGCGGGCGGCTGGATGGGCTCCATGTGCCTGCTGCACGCCTCCCTCACCGAGTACGTGCTGCTCTTCGGGACGGCCGTCGACACCGGGGGACACTCGGGTAGGTGGGGGAAGAAGGGTTTCTCCGAGGTCTGTTAGCCCTGCTCCTGCTGGCACCGTCCTTCCCCCGGGGCTGGCATCCCTCCCGTCCCCGGCGGGGATGCTCAGAGCCGGTGCTGTGCCCTCCGCAGGTCGGTACTGGGCGGATATCTCCGACACCGTCATTTCGGGCACCTTCCGGCAGTGGAAGGAGGGGACCACCAGGAGTGAGATCTACTATCCCGGTAAGCACACGGAGGGGGCTGTCACGGAGCTGCCTCCATCCAGCTGGCACCGCCAGGAGCTCGGGATGAGGCACCCCAGGTCCCCAACACCCTACTGGGTGCCAGTAGCCCTGGTGCAAAAGAATGGGGAGGGGCAGGGGTGTATGGAGCAGGGCCTGGCCCCACACACCTCCTCGTTGACGTGGGACAGCCTCTGGGAGCAATGCCACCCTCCTGTGTGTTTTGGCAGGGGACACCATCGTGCACCAGGCGGGAGAGGCCACGTCGGTGCAGTGGAGCGCGGGCACCTGGATGGTGGAGTACGGCCGGGGCTTCATCCCCTCCACGCTCGCCTTCGCCCTGGCTGACACCCTCTTCAGCACTCAGGACTTCCTCACCCTCTTCTACACCCTGCGCGTCTACGCCAAGGGCCTGCTCCTGGAAGCCAGCGCCTTCATCAGCACCTTGGGGTGCTGAGCCCGGCCGGCTGGGCTTCCCCGCCAGCCTTCCTCCCCACTCCTCCTCCTCCTCCTCCTCCTCCTCTTCCTCCTCCTCTTCCTCCTCCTTTCCAGGCCACAGGTCCCAAAACCTGGGGATGAGGATGCTGGTGCAAGCCGGGCTGCCCTGTGTCCCTCGGGGCAGGGTGCACAGGGAAAGCCGGCCCCAAACAGCCTCGGCAGAGGTCGGACAGGAGGTTGCTGGTGTCCTGGCTGGGCTGGCGAGCTGCCGTGGCTGCAGTCAGCAGGGAGCACGGCGTCCAGCTGGCAGCTCCTGCCCTGGCTCTCATCCCCATGGACATGGGTTGGCAGCACGTAGTGTCCCCATGGCACCAGGGGGCTCTGCGCCGGGACCCCCAGGCAGCCAGGGGATACCCGGCCTCTGCGCTGGAGGTCTGTCCTGGGCTGGCCCCTAGCCCCTTTGTGTCATCTTCCCCGGGGATATGGGGGCTGGAGGAGGGTCCCTTTCCCACCCACCCCCCGCTGTCCCCCCAGGGGGGACAGCCACCGTCTGTCGCCTTAACCGAGCGTGGCCTCCAGGCTGTGCACGTACCTAGTGTCTGCGGGTGCCCGAACCCCCAAATCAGCTCAGGATGGGACTTTGCCCCTCAAAATGCTTCCCCTGCCCGAGGCCCATCGGGTTCCCTGGCCGAGCTGGGGTACGGACCCCGCTCACAGCCCCGTGCCTGACGCCGGACCCGCGCGGGCTCACTGCTCGGTGGAGGGCTTTCACCTCCGTGCTGTTGCCAAAATTACGTGCGTGTGTGCGTGTGTGAGTGTGTCCTGGCCACTGGGCCTGTAGCATGTTCCTCCTCCCACTCCCCATAGTGCCCTCGTCCTGCCGACCAGCAGCCCCACACGCGGGCTACGTCTTAATTTGCTACCCGAAAAGAGATGTCAGTAATAAACGTCTTCATCCCACCTGCCCGGGAAGTCTCTGGAGCGTGCTGAGCCCCCGCCACGGGGTGTGGGGCAGGGTCTGGATGCCTCTGGGGACAGCTGGGTGTCCCCAAAGGGGCACAGCGGGACAGGGGTGAGTGTGTGGGGAGCAGGATAACGTGCATGGGTGTGCAGGCACAGCAGGTACTCGGTGGGTGCACAGGTGCAAGCACGTGGGTGTGCATGGGTTGGGCGTGCACAGGTGTGGGTGTACGGGTAGGTAAAAATGTTTGCAGGGGGGTATGGCCAGGATGGGTGTGCACACACTGGGATATACAGAGAGCAATTGTGCACCAATCCATATGGTGGGAACAAGCGTGTGCACACACCTTGGGCACGTTTGCACAAATCTGTGCGTGTGTGCACACAGGAGAGCGCTGTGCGTGCCTCTGTAGGGTGCACGCATGCACAGTCCGGGAGCCTATATGTGTGTGTCTGTGCGTGCACAGGGGTGTGTTGAGGTGTGTGTGCGTGCACAGGGGTGTGTGTGTGTGCCAGGGTTCCTACGGGCCTGTCGGGGAGCTTGAGTGATCCTGCGCCGGCCCGCACGGGAAGGCGCTAACTCAGCAGCTCGTATCAATACCGCTCCACTTACAGCGAAGGCCGCGTAATGAAAATCCGATGGGCACGCTGGTGGGAGTAAATAAGTATGCCATTAAAATGAGAAAATCAAAGCTCTGGACAGGTCTTTTCTCTTGCCCATTGATTTCTTTTATTACGGAAATATTGCTGCTAAATAACATTAGTGTGAACAATCTCAGCAGTGTTTTCCGTAGCGCCCGTGTCAATAACTCCATCGCGGGCGGGGGTTCCCTCCTCAGCTCGGGGGGCCTGGGGCTGCTCTGGGGGTGCCCTCGTCCCCCCTGGATGTGCCTGGCAGAAGAAGCGGGCAGCTCGGGGGGCTTGGGCAAGTGGCACTGGTATGGGGCTGGGCTGGGAGCCAGCAGCTGTGCTGCAGCAGGAGGGGTTGTCCCCATCCCAGTGCGGAGTGGGGACGGTGCCAGGAGTGCCAGGGCACCAAAAGCAGCCCCTTTCCTTCAGGGCAGCCTGTCACCGAGCAGCTGGATGTCCCCAGTGACCATCAGGAGAGAGATGGGTGCTGGCCATGCTGTGTCCCACAGGCTCCTGCTGGGTCTGCTTCCTCATCCCCACATGTCCCCATCAGGACCTGTCCGTGCCAGCCTGACCCAGCTCCCCGCAGCCTGCCCTGATTTGGTTCACATGGGGAAACTGAGGCACGGCGTGGGGTGGGCGTTCACCCACTGACACCCAGCTCCAGCACAGATCCTGTCCCATGGCCAGGGCTCGTGGTCAGTACCCGATGCAGGCATCCAGTGGCCCCTGAGATGCCCACGGGTGGCCTGGACATCCCCATGGGGCCAGAGGATGTGACCAGCACACGAGGGGGATCTGCACCTTCTGGCACCCAGGTGGGACTCCAGGGCACCAAGGGTGGCCAGAGATGGACAAGGAGACTCGACCACACAGGTCCAGCTCCAGCTGGAGCAGCATCTCCCCGGAGCCACGGCCAGGACAAATGCACTTCGCTGCCCACCCAACACCGTCCCCCCGCAGCCCGCTCTATCTTGCTGTCCCTCCGCACGCAGCGGGTATTGATCAGCCCGCAGGATCTATCTCCCGATTCCTCCTGCGGTATCTCTCTGCTCCGAGTATCTCTCAATCTGCTCTGCTGTCTGCCGTGCCCGTCTATACCTACAGTATCTATCCGCGCCGCCTCCACCGCGCCCGTCGATACCCGTTTGTCTGGGGGATTTCTCTTTCTCTCCACCTAGGAGCGGCACAACGAGGCCGAGCAGGAGGGTTTTGGGGACACAGCCCTGACAGGGACAACCGGGTCAGGTCCCCGTGGTGGCCTCACCTGGGGTGATGGGGGATGCTGCACCCCACAGACCCCTGGCTCCTTATGCAGAGGGGATGGGTGCAACCCACCACCCTTGGGTGCAGCCCTGATCCACGGGGACCTGCGGAGTGAGCCCCGTGGGGCTGCTGGCCCTGTGGTCCCATTATCTCCCCCAAACAGGAGACTGGGGCGTAGCTCCCAGAGGCAGCTTGTGCAGGAGCATCGGCCCATAAACTGAAGCCTGGGGGGGCTGGCAAGTGCTGGGAGGTCGCTGCCACGGCAGGAGAGGATGGGTTGGGGCGAGCTCCAGCTGTCCAGCCCCGGCACGGGATGGCCGACAGCTGCTTTATCTCCTGCGCAAAGATAAACAGCGCCCGGGGGCCCTGCGGGGTCGGGTGCTGCCCCGCTCCTGCAGGAAGGGGCTGGTTTCCAGCAGAGCCACCACAGCACTGTGCTGTGTGAGCCCCAGGGGTGCACGGAGCCGGGTGGGCACCCAAAGCGTTGGCTTTTCCTTGCAAAGGGAAGCAGGGAAGGGGACGGAGGCTTGGAGCAGCCTGCGGAGCCCGAGAGCAAAATGTGGCTGCATCCAGGGTGGCTTGCGTGGTGGGCAGGTGGCTCTGGAGGGGACAGAGCTCCTGTCACCCTGTGCCACCAACATTCAGCTCAGTCGGAAGCTTGAAGCTTTCCCTGGCTGCTCTGTCACAGCCCTGGCCCACCCAGGACATCGCGGTGCTGTGGAGATTTGCTCGATGCCCCCCCCGTGCCTCAGTTTACCCACCAGCACAAGGGCCTCAGGACCAGGATCAGCCCCCGGCTGGATGCTGCGTATACAGGTGCACGTGTGTGTGTAAGGGGGGGCAGGTTTGTGCCAAAATTCTGTTCCTGCAGGGCTGGGGGATGCACGTAGCCCCCCTCATTGGGACCCCTCTGTGATCCTGGCCCCAGCCCGCAGGCAGGGCTTGCACAGAGGCCAGGGCTCCGTCCTTGCTGCTTGCTTCACCCTCCCCTTTGTACCCACCCAGGGACAGGCACTGCGGGTGCACACACCCCGTCTGATCCACACACGCGTGCACACACCTGCCTGTGCACACAGTGCACCCACACCCAGCCCCGTCCGCACACACCTACAGGTAAGCACACAAAACGCACACGCCCAGCCCCGGCAGGCGCACGTAAACCCTTATTTCTGACCCCATCAGTGTGCAAACGGGCACACACCCACACACCCAGCCCCTCCAGCCATGCACAGAGCTGCATGTGTGCGCGTGTGTGTGTGCAAGTGAATGCACGACGTGTGCACGGACTGTGCTCCCCAGGATAAATGTGTGCTGTAAACACGATGTGTGTGCATGCACACGTGCAGTGCACACCCATTGCATGCACACACACCCCCAGTGCATGCACACACACCCATTGCATGCACACACACACGTTGCATGCACTCAACCCCCCTGTTGCAATACATTTACACACCCGTTGCATGCACACACACCCATGCAAGGTGCTCGCCTCCCTCGCTGTGCACAAGCACACATGTGCTCACACCCTGCGTGCACCCACGGAGCACACATACCCCCCACGAGCACCACACATGTGCGTGCAAGCGCAGTCCCCCTGCACACGCAGCCACACGCGTGCAACTTGCACCCCGCGCTCCCAGCGCCCACCCAGGCGTGCAGGCACCCCCACGCGTGCACACCCACTCGTGCACACACAGCTCCCCCCCCCTTCAACCCTCCAGACCCCGGGGCCCTCCCCGGATGCCTCCCTTCGCCGTGCGCTAGCAAATGGGAGCGGGGAGGGGGTGTTGCTGCCCGCCTGCCACTTGTTGCAAAGAAAAAAAAAAAAAAAAAAAAAAAAAAAGGAAGAAAGAGAGAAAGAAAGAAAAGAAGGGGAAGAAAAAAAAAAAAAAATCCCTCCCACCTTCTCTCATCTGCTGCGGAATAAAAGAAATATCGGCGGGCGCGGCGCCATGTGAGCGGCGGGCCGGGGCCGGGCGGAGCAGCGGCCGTGCCCCCGGGACGGCGGGGGGAGCCCTGGGAGCCGGCGGCATGGTGGGGACCCCCAGCCTGGTGGCCAAAGCCGCCCCGGTGAGGGCCACCCCGAGACGGGACGGACCGCAGGGGCCCCGGGAGCAAGGGGGTCCCGCTGGGGACGGGATGGGGTCGCTGGGATTTGGGGGGTCCCGGTGGGGAAAGGGGGTCCCCCCCTCGCTCTCCAGCGGTAGGACGCGGTGCCCCTTGGGGGGGGGGAAAGGGGGGAAAAAGGGGGGCTGGGGGTGGGATTGGGGTTGTGTGTGGGGGTCCTGGGAAGACGCGGTCGCGGGTGGGAGCGGGGCGGGGGTCCCCGCACGGAGCCGTCTCGGGAGGGACCCCCAAAAGGGGGGTGTGGGGGTGCGGGGAGGGGTCCCGGTGCATTCACCCCCTCCCCAAACCGCGCAGCGCCGGCTCCTTCAACTTTTGGTGCACGGCCCCCGGGGTGGCTGGTGGGGGGGGTGGGGGGGGGGAGAGAGAGAGGGAGGGTGGGGGTGCTTCCTCCCTTCCCTCCTCCTCCTCCTCTTCCTCCTCCTCCTCCTCCTCGTCCTCTGAGGCCGTGCCCTGTGCCCGCAGCCGGCCGCCCCACCGCGGGGGTCCGGGCCGCCGGGGGGGCTGCGGCTGGCGGCGGTGATGGAGAGCCTGCAGCGGCAGCAGGCGGCCCGCCTGGCCCGCAGCCCCGACGGCCCGGCCCGACGACCCCCGGCCGAGCCCGCTCCGGCCCCGGCCCCGCTCCGCCGCCCCCCGCCGCCCCCCGCCGCCGCCCGGCCCCCGGCCCCGCTCCGCCGCCCCCCGCCACCGGGCAGAAGGAGAGGAGGAGGAGGAGAGAAAGAGGAGGAGGAGGAAGAGGAGGAGGAGGAAGGGGAGCCCCGGGACCCGCCGCCCGCCCCGCATCACGAGTGGACCTACGAGGAGCAGTTCAAGCAGGTAAGCAGCGCCCGGCGCCGCGCCCCCCCAACCTGGCGTCCCCGCTGCCCCCTACCCCCATCCCAGTCCTGCCCCGAGGAGACATCCCCCACACCCCCCTCGTTCCCACAGACATCATCTCCATGCCGCCCAAAACGGGACACCCCTCCAAATCCCCCTTCCACTGCCCCCAAACTGCATCCCAGGCAGCCCGTGCGCCCCAGCACCCCCATCCCACCCCAAATTCTCTGCACTGCCCCTGTCCTTCATCCCCCCCACAACAGGCATCCTCTTGTGCTCTCCATCTCCCCCCACCCTAAACCCTGTCGCACCCTGTCCCTGTCCCCCCACCTGCCCCCCGTCCCCTTTGCACTTGCCTCCGGCCCCGTGGGGCTGGGAGGATGCCCTGGGGTACAACGGGGTGCCCGGCATCCAGGCACCACCCCATGCCCACCCTGACCCATGGCAAGCTCTGTTCCCCATGGTAAAATGTGGTGTCCCCTGTCCCTGGAGGCTTTTCATGGTCCCCAGGCAGAGATGGAGGGGGCAGAGGGGGCAGGTGGAGCAGCACCCCCGGGGACAGCCTTGGTTTCGAGACAGGATTTGGCTTTCCCCTCGTGTTTTGCTGCCAAGGGGATGTGACAAGGGTCCTGGTGCACGGTCACGCCAGGAGCTGAGCTCCCCCTGTGTTTCTGTGAGGGCTGGGATGTGTTGTGGCTGCAGGATGCATTCTCTGATTCGTCTTATTTGGGCTTCTGATAATTCTCATATGGGCTGGCACCTTGACCCCATCCCTTTGCTCTCAGTGGGCGCAGGGGAGACCCTCGTGGCGCAGACATCTCAGGGATCACAGGGCCTGTGGGGCTCGTATATAGGGCAGAGAAAAGGCCTCTGTATTTAATACCATGCCCCCTTGCATGGACACCTCCCTGCTGGGTTGTGCAAGCCCTGGTGTGCACGCCGCGGGTGCAGGGGTGTGAGCACAGGTCGCACAGCACCGCTCGGGTTTGCGCTCCCGGTGTGCTCCTTGGGGTTGTGGTGAGCAGAGCGGTGATGCTCACAGCAGGGAGGGTGCAGCGAAGGGACGGAGCGGGCAGAGATGTCCCCGTGTGTCTGCTGCAGGGCTTTTTAGGCTGGCACTGCTCAGGGGACAGCAGGACGTCCCCACATCCACCCGATACTGCGGGGTGCGCAGGGACGGGGGGACTCTTCCCGCAGTGCTCACCCCCAGCAGGAGGGGACGGGGACCAGACTTTGTGCCCGGACATCGCACGGCACAGCGAGGTCCCCAATTCCCCGGGACCCCAGCACCTCAGAGCCGTGGTGCTGGGGAGCCCAGCCACCTCCGGGGTGGGTGCACTGCATAGGCTGAGTATATCTGGCAGGGAAGTGTAACGTTACAGCCCGCTGCGCAGAAAAAGGCTGACTGTCCGGTTCCCGGGGTCAGGCAGGAGGTGGGACGCGGCTCCTCCCTCGCTCCCGGGGCCGGGGAGGCTTTGCAGAGAGAAGGCATCCCAGGCATTTCTTCTCCTTTGGTCCCACACCCTGCCCCTGGTCAGGGCAGGAGCGAAGCCGGCTGCTGCCGGGAGCAAATCGCGGTGTAAATGCGAAGGGACAGATCGAAGGGGGCTTCGGGGTGGGGGGATAAATCCTGACCAGGCTCCTGGGGTGAAGCTGGCTGCTGGCTTGCTTGTCCCAGCCAGCCAGGGGACAGGGGACATGTCCCTGGTGCCCCCAGGTGCATAGGGACCAAGGGACCGATTGCTGCTGGATGGTTTATATGGGATGGGACTGGGAGAATGGACGTTTTTGTGGTGCTGCCCCATAAGGGTGGCAGTTTGGGGCAGGCTGCATTGCCAGCTTGCCCCAGGGGCTGCAGGGTGGCTGTCACTTCTGTCCCACCCCTGTCACCTTCTTGGCTGGGGGGACATGTCCCCTGGTCCCTCCCCAGGCTGCAGGGCTGTGTCTGGCCCAGCCTGGAGAACAGGTTCCCTGCTCGGGGCAGGGAGGAAGGGGCAGACGAGGGGTTGGTGGAGGTTAAAAGGCAAACTGCGTGTCGCCCAGGGGAAATACATGGGGACATTCCCTGGGGGATGAATTTGGGAGGCCAGCAGGACCTCTGCTCTGATCTGTGTGCGTTTTGGGGTGCACATTTGCCTTGGAGGTGGCTGGCAAGAGCCCGGCGTTGCTCGCCCTCTCCTTGCTCTCTCCTTGTTGCTTTCTCCATCGGGTTTGTCCCCACGGATGCAGCTCAGGGGATCCCCGTGGGGAGGAAGGAGGTGGTCGCCCTGCCCCATTCCTCCTCCTCCTCTTACCGGCGCATCTTCCACCCAGGTGCAGCAACAACAACCGCAGGGCTCCCGGGGCTGAATTAGAGGGTCTCTGGTTACACCGCAGCGGGACGGGCGCCGTGTTTGTTCCTGGCCGCGGCTGCCGGCAGGTTTCTCAACCACAGAGCTGCGGGCAGGGCTCGTCCCAGGCTCGGGACCACCTGCGGCGAGGGGGCTGCGGGGGGGGAGCGGGGCTGAAGCTCTGAGGGTCAGGGCGGTAATCCCCGGTGAGCAGCAGCCCAGAGTGAGCAGCGGGGCTCCCGGGGTGCCCACGGGGGTGTTATGGGTGTGGATGTGGGTGTGTGGATATATAAATGTCCCTGTGGGTGTGTGCTTGTGAGCCCGTGTGTTTGTGGACCCACACGAGCACCCACGTGTGCACAGACCCCTGCGAGACCCCATGTGTGTGCATGTATGGAGCCATATGGACCCACGGGTGTTTTGGGCAGGGTTTGGGGCTGACCCCCTCCAAAACCCTCGCCCCAGCCCGAGGTGCCCAGGGGGTCCCAGCCCCATCCCCACTGCTGTCTGGGGGTGCCTCAGCAGCCACCGCAGCCCCAGCCCCCCGACCGCAGCTCCCTGGAGCTCTGTGCTGGGGCTCCGAGGAGGAGGTGTAAAAACTAATCAAGGGTGTGAGGAGACAGGCGCTGCGTGCGGGAGGGGAGCGACAGCAGCCCAGGCTGGTGTGGGAGCTGGGGACGAGCGCATGGAGAGATGGGGACAGCAGTGTGTCCCCCCCTGGCAGCACCAAGTGTGGGGAGAGGAGGGGAGCTGGGGCTGGCAGGACCCCGTGCATCCCCTCTGGGGGTCCCCACCCCACAGCTGCCCCCAGCTCTGTCCCCAGCTGCCACCCTGTAATCGGATGTCAGCGATGGGTTTGGGGGTGTTTGTCCCTTCTCCAGCTCCTGCCCCTGGTAATCCACTAATTGGGTTAATGAGGGAAGCAGAGCTCCTGTGCCAGCAGCGGGGTGGGCAGGATGCAGCAGGGAGGGGGGATTCAGCCATGGGGAGGTGGGATCTGGCCCCACTGGGACACCCACAGGGGTGTGCAGCTGCGTGGGGGTGAACCCCACAAGCCCCCCCTTCACGCCAGGGATGGGGGCTGCCATCCCAAGGCCGGCGCCACGAGCAAACAGTCCCTCACCTTGCCCCGAGCCGGGTTAATGTTTGCAGCAGGCAGCTCCCCAGGCAGGGACCGGCGGCGGCAGGGAGGGGGTTTTAATGGCCTGCCGGATCCGCCGTGCTATCAGCGCTGATTAAACCTGCTGCTCTATAAAGCCCCGTTAAATATTAAGCACAGAGAATGGTTTTGGGGAGGGGGCGCGGGGAACGGGCTGGGGACATCCGGCATGGGGGTGTCTGGCTGTGCCAAAGGGGTTAATGCTGAGGATGGGGACACCGGGGGGAGTGTGGTCCCTGTGGGGGCTGTGGGATCGAGGCAGAGCCCCCCCCCGTCAGCCAGCAGCATTTGCAAATGCAGCCGGCACCCGGGCAGAGCCGTCCCATAACCATTAACTTATTAACGGCGCAAGGTCAGGGGTGGCTGGTGCCCGGCGGGGAGCGAGCTACAGGATGGGGGGGACCCCAGGAGGGGGGTCCCAGAGCCCCCAGCTCCTGTGCTCGCTCTTGGGGTGCATTCAGGCCGGGTGGTGGCAGGGCTGTGGGTAAATGGAGGCACTGGTGGCTCCCCAGTCTCACTGGGACACGGGGAGGCACTCGGTGTGCATGCACCTGGCCACGCACCAGGGACACCCAGCTGGGAGGTGCAGTGATGCTCCAGAGGGGTGCGAGGTCCCCAAAAGAGCCCGAGGTCCCCAAAGGACCCCGTTGGTGCTCAGCCACCTGCAGTGTGCTGGGGGCCGGGGGGATGTGGGGAATTGCATCTCCTGGGCTCCCTGCGTGAGCAGCAGCCGGATGGAAAAATTAGCAGGGCGGCTAATCAATGCGGTGCATATTAAGTGGCTCGGGGTTGGGGGGGACGCGAGGCAGGGGGGAGCCGAGCAGGGTTCGGGATCGATGCAGCCCGTATTAAGTGGATTAAATCCTGGTTGCTGATCTGAGCCCTGGCTGCCAGCGGGAGGTGGCAGCCGAGCGGGGGCTGCGGGGGTCCCCGCTGCGATCGCTTCCCTTGGAAGTGCTCCTCGGGGCAGCCTGGAGGGGCTTTGCACCCCTTCCTTTTGGGATCAGCTGGGCCATGGGGGGTTGGAGACCCCGGCTCCACCCCTGCAAGCCCCCCAGAGCCGGGAGAGGCACCTCCGGGGTTAGCAAGTGTGCTAACGATGTCATTTAATTGTGGCAAGGCGGCGGGGGAGGCACGAGGTCTATTCACATCCCGTTAATAAACCGTGTTCGACCCGCTGCCCTTTAACCTGCCCGGCCAGCCCCGTTATCCCCATCCCTTAAGGAATCAAGACATCACCATGGCGATGGGATGCTGGCAGTGAGCAGGATGCCCGGGTATGGCCAGAGCTGCACCCGTGTTGGTTTGGGGCCAAGGACACCCCAAGTAGCTGCACCGGGCTGGCACTGGGGATGCCGTGTTTTTTTGGGGGGCCAAGCCCCGCAGACGGGGTCCCCGAGGTCCGTAGAGCAGAGCTGAGCCGTGCACCAGCGGGGTATCGATCCCCGGGCTTGACAGTTTAATACTTGTGTTTATAGAGGAATATAGTTACATCGATGGCGTTAAATGAGTTACTAATTATATCAATACAAACACGATTAAAAGGGTCCTTGCTCATAGGTCACCGCAAGCAGGAGCCGCTGCTCGTGTTGCACAACTGCCCCCTGCTCGAGGTGCACGGCACGGGCGTGCGGGGGGTGACCCTGTCTGGGATGGGGTGGCCCTCCAGGGGTCCGTGTGCCCCCCCCGGGTTCTGTGTCCCCACCTGGGGTGTGCGCCCATGCAGGGCTGTGCGTGCTCGTTTGGGGTTATGCATGCTAATAGGGAGCAGGTGTACACATTTGGGGCTGTGCGTGTCCATTTGGGGCTGTGCGTGCCCATTTGGGGCTGTGTGTGCCCATTTGGGATTGTACATGCCTGTATGAGGCCAGGCACATCCATACAACATTGTACGTGCCCACGTGGGGATGTGTGCTTGTAAGCTTTTTGCAAATGGGTTCGGGGCACGCTCGTGCAGGTTGCGTGTGCACCAATGCAGGGTTGTGCACACTCGTGTATGCCTTGGCCAGCCTGAGCGTGCTCCTGCAGCGATGTGCAGGGTGCCTTCCCCCCGGGGTAGCTGAATGTGCTCGCGTTGGGTTGTGCGCACCCTTGTGCGGGGTTGTGCACGCCTGTGGGAAAGGAATTCGCAGGTGGCTCCGCGCGGTTTCACACGTCCCTGAATTAGAGATAATGGGGAAACAAGCGGTAGAAGCAAAAACTTAGAGCGAGGCTGAGATAAAGTAAATTGGCTGCAGTGTTCAGGATGAGCTTTGGGCAGTGGCCAATTGCTGGCTGGCTCGAGGCACGTGTCTGGGGGTCTCTAACCCACTGTGTGACAGATCCGGGCACATGGGACTACAGGGAAAGTAGATGTAGTAGTGAGAAAGGGCAAGAGACATCTCCTGTTCAAGAGCCATCAGGAGTCCGTGCCTTGCATCCCTTCACAAGCCCATAAAGGGTTGTGCATGCTCGTGCAGGATTGTGTATGCCTGCGTGGGGCTGTGCGTCCCCGTCTGTGGTAGCGTGTATCTGTATGGGATTGTGCGTGGCCCTGTGGGGTTGTGCTCTGCTGCTCCAGTGGCTGGTCCCCAAAGGAGGCTGGGGGGACTGCAGTGCCCACCCTGCAAGAGGAGGAGGAGGGTGAGTGGCAGGTGATGAAGATGGCACCTTTCTTGGGGCTGGGGGTGTCTGGGGGGACCCTCTTTGCCTGCAGGCCACTCCCATGCCACCCCTCTGCACCCACAGTGCCTGGATCCTATACCCTGCTTTGCCTGGGACCCAGCCCACCCGCCAGCAGCAGAAATCCCCCAAACCCACCTCCTCTCCGGCCTGAGCATCCCCAAATCTCACGGGACACCCAGCACATCCCCACGCGCCCGAGGGCCGTGCCAGCACATCAGCTCCTCACTCATTTCTCGTCTCCTCTTAAAAGCCGACCTTTGCTCCCTGCTTGATGTAATGTGTTTTTGTGTCTCGCTGCCCCGCAGATAAAAGGTTAGAGGTTAATATATGGTGGAGAAGAGGTCCCGGTGCTTGGAGGTCACACCTGTTTGGGGGCTGCGGGCGCACGGTGGTGGGGAGCACGCCTGGGCTTTGTGGGAGCAGAAATACAGTGGGGGTCTTGCTGGATACCCCCACTGGGAGACCCCTGGGAAGGTCTTGGCTCAATTTCCCACAGCAGGAGGGGTGGTAGGGGCTGGGCTGGTGGCCAGGCAGGGAAACGTGGGCTCCCAGGGCGCTGCTCCCAGCGTGAGCTTTAGCTGGGGATGGGGAGGAGGGTGACAGGGACAGGGAGCTCGTGGGGAGGAAGGGACAGCAGCAGAGCACCACGGAGCACTCGAAAACAGTGCTGAGGGCTGTGCACAAGTGTCTGCCCAGCGATGGGAACAGAGAGCAGAGTCACGTCCCACATCCCCACATCCTCACATCCCCATCTTCTCACGTCCCCATGTCCTCACATCCCTGTGTCCTCTTGTCCCCATGTCCCTGTGTCCTCTTGTCCTCATGTCCTCACCTCCCCATCCCCACGTCCCTGTGTCCCCGCACCCCCACATCCTCACATCTCCCTTTATCTGCCCGTGAATTATGTGCCGTCTGGAGGGGGGGCCTCCCTGCCTATTGGTTTTTAACGGCCTTTCCCAGCACAATTGTTTTTTAAACGACTCTATTTTGTGCCTGACTTTGTTTTCCAGCTTGCATTTCTTTGTATATGTTTTGGAAATCCATTCTGGACTGCTGAGTTTTGTTTCTTTTCAATGGCTTTAAATTCTTGCCGGGCTCGCTGGGAGGAATCGGTGTCTATAGCGCCTTCGATTGGTGCTAATTTTTCCTTCATGTGCTCTGACTTTTACTGCTGGGCCATCGATCTGGCGGTCTCCAATTTGTCATGGTCACCGAGGCGCTGTGCTGGAATCAGCCGAGCCCTGGCTGCGAGCGCGGCGCGGCCGCATCCTGCCCTGCCACGGGGCTCTGTGCCCCCAGGGCAGGGAAACTGAGGCACGGAGGCAGCCAGGGTGGGGAGCCCACGGCAGACCCGAGCCCGGGGATGTGTCGGGGAATCATTTTGGGGAGAGCCAGGGGGGGGTAAAGGGGTGATGCCAGGTGCTGGTGCCAGCAGGGTCCACATCCCCGGCACTGTCCCCTGCCATCCCCCTGCCTACGTGCCGGCGGTGCTGACACCTTTCCTTCCCCAGCTCTACGAACTGGATGAGGACCCAAAACGCAAGGAGTTCCTGGACGACCTCTTCAGCTTCATGCAGAAGAGAGGTAAAGGTGGGTGGCTCGGGTGGGTGCCCCCCAGCTGCCGGTTTGGGGCTCGTCCCTGCGAGCTGCACCCCACGAGGCTGGCCGAGCTGGCCACTGGCACACACGTGGGGCTCAGCTCTGCCTCCATGCCCCACATCTCCTGCACCCTGCACCCCACATCCCTCAAATCCACGCTTACACACAGGGTGCTGCCAGCCAGAGGGGCTGGGACCCCGAATTTGGGCTGGTGGCGGTGCCCCGTGCTGATGCCCACCAGCAGTGCCCACCGGAGAGGCGCAGTAGGGCTGCAGCAGAGCCCTTTGGCGAAGTCCGTTAGCAAAACCCCTTAATTACACCCATTAGCCATGCCCAGCAGTGTCACCCAGCGGGGATGCCCGCTTGCAGTGCCTTACAGCGATGCCTGGTGGCAATGCCAATTAACAATGCCTGTTAGCGGTGCCCATGAGCAACCCCCGTTAGCGATGCCAATTTTTGGGTGCTCAGAGCCAAACCCGAGCGCTGCCAGGGGGCTGCAGGAGCAGCGCGGGGTCCCAGGGGTTAAGAGCCCTCCAGCCCACCCAGCCCCATCGGAAATCTTTGCTATCGGCACGGGGACGAGCCAGCTCCCGGGGACTCGATAAATGCTTTAACCTTCGCCCTCCCCATCCGGGCCCGCGACAATTAAAAGTTGCCGAGCGCGGGCGCGCGGCCGGCTGTATTAATTAGAGCCTTTTGCCGGTGTGTGGATTAATGAACACGCCGCTCGATAGCCAGTAAACCCCAGGCAGAGGTTAATGCCGAGCTAATTAACGGGGGAAGGCTTGCGGAGGGGGGCTGGAGCTGGCTGTGTGTGGGGCGAGGGTGGCTGGGAAGGGGCGGTTGGCCCCGAGCCTGCTTTTGGGAGTGTCGGTGAGGGTGGGTGCCCACCCGCGGGGCAGCAGCACCCGGCTTTTGGGGGGCTGAGACCCCACAAACTCGTGCCCTGCGGGGCTGCCGTGGCCGTGGGGCTCCCAGCAGAGCGTGGCTGGAGGTGGATGGGGTCTGCGTGCTGCCCCGTGGGCTGTGGGTGCCCCCCAGCTGTGGGGCAGGTTGGGGGGAGCCAGGGGAGCACTGGCACTGCCCGACCCTCATCTCCCCCCCTCAGCATCCATCGGGGCCACAAGATTCATGGGCTGCTCAGCGGCTTCATTATCTCTCTCTCCAGAGCTAATTAACTCCCTCACCATTGGGGCCGGGGCTAATTAAGCGAGCTGCCTGGCGGTGCGGGGAGGAAGGAGGGAGCCCGGTGCTCCCCAGTCCCGCTCCTGTCCCCTCCCCAGGCCAGGTGACATCTCAGGGTGACCCCAGGGGGGGTACAGCGGGTGGAGCTGGGTGCCGCAGCTCCGGGGACGGGCAAGGGGGCACCCCCAGAGCTGGGTGCTGCCGAGAGCCACTGTGGGTGCCCCTGTGGCACCCAGGGGCGCACGGGCAGGGGGCTGCGTCCCCAGGGTGGCAGCGGGTGAGGGATGGGTGGCGAGCCCTAGGAAGGGGCTGCGCATCCCCCCGTGTTTGCACCCTCCCCGTCCCCACGCCGAGCCGAGGGCCCTGCCGATAACGTGGCATCATTAATCAATCCCGGAGCTAATTGCAGCGGCACAATGGCCCCACCACCTCCACGGGCTTTTGTGCCGCGCACCCCGGCCGCTGCCGGGGCCATCACTCTGCGGGACGCAGACAGGTCCCTTTGTCAGCGGGACGGGCACCGGCCGCCCGCTCCATGCGGCCCCGAGATTAATTGCCAGCAGCTTTCATTAGCCACCGCGGCCAGGGAGGGGGGAGAGAAGAAGTCCGGAGGGCATCGATCTGGCTCTGGGACCCACAAACTCGTTCGCAGCTTTGGGGGTGATGGGGAGACCCCCAAATCGGAGCGATGGGGCTGGTGCTGAGCAGGGCTGGTGAGGGACCGCCGGCAGATATCAAGTCGATATCTCTGCTTTCTTCCCAGGAGGAAAAACTCCTCTCCCCCTTTCTGATCTAGCAAACAACACAGACACACACACACACAAAAAAAAAAAAAAAAAAAAAAAAAAAAAAAGTTAAATGAACTCAGTAAAGGAATAAAAAGAGCTCATTTTTCAGGCTTATGCGAAGAAGCCGAGCCAATATCGGGGCCATAAATTAGGGATGCTGGAGGACGGCGGTGAGTGACGGCTTCGTTTGAGGGGCGAAGCGCGGCCGTGACAGCCTCCCCTGGCAAAATGGATGGGTTTCCGATACCACCCGCACCCCGGCAGGGAATAAATACGGGGCGGGGTGGGACAGGAGGAGACGGGACGGGATGCTCATCCCTCCTCTGCCCTGCTGCAGCCCTGCCTGCCTGCCTGAAGCACTGCCCCCAGGCACCACGGGGCTATTTGGGGTGTTGGGGAGGTGGGGAGGGGGCTCTGACAGCTCTGGGGACAGCCAGTGCCTGCAGTGGCCGTGGGGACAAGGCGGGGGCCGTGTCCCCACAGGGTGAGGGTCCCCGTGGGCTCACCCCTCACCCTTCTCTCTCCCGACTCGCCCGGCCCGAAGGGACACCCGTGAACCGCATCCCCATCATGGCCAAGCAAGTGCTGGACCTCTACACGCTGTACCGGCTGGTGACGGACAAGGGCGGGCTGGTGGAAGTCATCAACAAGAAGATCTGGCGGGAGATCACCAAGGGCCTCAACCTACCTACCTCCATCACCAGCGCTGCCTTCACCCTCCGCACGCAGTGAGCACCCAGGGTGTCCCCCAAGGGGGGACAGAGGGCTCCCACCGTGCCTGGGTGCTGTCCCCAGCCCGGTCCCTGCTGGTTTTGGGGCTGTCTGGGAGGTGCTCGGTGCTGGCTGTGATCCCGGCTGCCTTCCCCACGCAGATACATGAAGTACCTGTACCCCTACGAATGCGAGAAGAGGGCGCTCAGCTCGCCCGGGGAGCTGCAGGCTGCCATCGACAGCAACCGGCGGGAGGGACGGAGGCAGACATTCGGCGCCGCGCTCTTCAACTACTCGCCCGCTGGCACCCCGACCCTGCTGGGCTCCCCAAAAATGCCCCTGCCGGCCCTCAGCATCTCCACACACAGCTGCGGCCAGATGGGCCAAGCGCACGGCGTGAAGAAAGGTGGGTGAGGACCACGGCTGCCCTGCCTCGGGCATCCCAACGGGGGATGCTCCTTCTCCCAGGTGGGGAAAAAAAGAACGATTTTGTTCTTTTGGTCCCCTCTGGGGTGAGAGGGGATGGCTGTGGAGCTGGGTCCAAGCCCCGATGTAGCTGGCAGCCCCTTCTCTGCCCACCCTGCATGGCGCGGGGATGGCGAGGTGGGGTGGTGAGGATGGGGTCTGGCTGAGCTCTCCCCGTGGTTGCAGAGGACGGCGCTGTGCCGGCGGTGCCGGGGCGCATCGCCATCCCGGTGGGGCTGGCAGGACACCACCTCGCCGCGGCACAGGCAGCAGCAGCAGCCTCGCAGGCGGCGGTGCTGGAGCAGCTGCGGGAGAAGCTGGAGACGGGGGAGCCCCCGGAGAAGAAGGTGGCCCTGACGGCGGAGGAGCAGCAGCGGCTGATGCAGCAGGCTCTGCAGCACAACCTCCTGGCCGTGGCCTCGCAGTTCCCCATGAACATCAAGGTCTCCAACCGAGGTAGCGCCCTGCAGCCCCCTACCCTGCCACCCTTAGGGGGGGGAACACGGCTGCCCGGGGAGGACGGGGCCCCGTGGCTCCCTCCGGCAGGTCGCTTCTGTTTCTTCTGGTGCTCATATTGGTATTTCCTTCCCCCAGATGACAGACAGGAGACCGCATTGAACCTGTCCACCAACGGCATTAGCAGTATCAACATGTCAATAGAAATAAATGGAGTTGTCTACACAGGTAAATAGAAGGGCCGCTTGCCCCGTGTAATTGCGGCCGGGAAATCCAATAACTTATAGCCACTGCCTGGCCAGCAAGTCCTTCCTTCAATCTGATGTCTTTACTATAAAATCCATCGTAATGAAGTGGCAGGGCCCGGGGAGAGGAGGCAGGAAAAGGAGGAGGGCAGCCAGGCCAGCAGCTGTCCCCCAGGAGGGGCTGGCAGTGAATGGCCAAAGTGTGGGACAGACAGACAGCAGACGGACAGACTTGGGCTGAGAGGAGCTAAAAGCTCCCCCAGTTAAAGCAGACAGCTTTTCCTCCAGCAGATAAATATTTAACGAGCCAGAAAGGTCAGGGCTCAGCAGCACGCGAGCCCACCAGCCACAGGGTCCCGGGCCACCTCAGTGGGCTGTGTAAGGCGACAAGGGGATGGGTAGCAGCACAGGGCCGGGGGAGACACCGAGGGCAGTGGGGTTTGAAGCCCCCGGGGGTGCCGGTCCCTAACCCCATTTCTCTCGCTCCCCAGGCGTCCTGTTTGCCCGCCGGCCCGCAGCCCCGCCGGCCCCCGGTGGAGGGAGCACCCAGAGCCGGCTGAACCCCACGGCCACCCCGAACCCGCCGCCGCCGGCCCCCTCGCACAGCCACACTCCTGCCAGCGCCAAGCCGTAGGGGCGACGCTCCCCGAAGCACACGGGGTCCCTGGAGAGGGGGTGGGGGGTCTGTGCCCCCAGCCGTGGGGCAGGGATTTGCCCAGAGGAGTTTGGGGATATTGGGTGTCTCTTGGTGCTGAGCAGGGCTGTGGCCGTGCAAAGCCATGAGCACCCACGGGGCCCTTTTGTCCCTCACCCCCACATGTGGGGCCCCCTACCCGCATGCACCCCCAAAATACGCCTTCTGTGACCCCCTCCCCCCCCCCAAACAGCTCCTGCTGGCCTGGGCTCCCCTGCACTCTGCAGCCCCTCTGGGCACCTCGATGCACTCACCACATCCCCCGTACACGCCTCAATGCACTCTGCAGCCCCCATACTCACCTCGAAGCACACGCTGTCCCCCCCACATTGGCACATGTGGCATCCCCTGTACACCCTACACACACTTCATTGCACGCTGTGTTCCCTGTACACGCTGGCAATGCACGCAGTGCATCCCCCCCACACTGCCCCCACCCCACACATCACACCGTGTCCCCTACACACACCCTACACCTGCGTGCACACTCACTGCAATCACTGCAGACCCTTTATTTGCACCCCCCCCCGCCCTGCCCCTGCTCTGTGCCACCCCAGGATCACCCCTCGGGTGTGTGTGGGATCACACTGGAGGACAAATACTGGGGAAACTGGTGGGACTGGTGGGGGGGGAGGGGGGACTATTCGGATGGGGATATGGGGGGGCTTACACACTGGGAGGGGTTTGCTGGAGGGCAGGGTGGGGAGGCCCAGCAGTGTCCCCAACCAAAGCCCACCCAGATGCTGGGGTCCCCAAGGGAATTAGAGGGTGGGGGGCAGTGGGATTGGGGGGAGGGGGGGGCTCCAAACTACCTCGTTGGGGCGGGGGGGTGGGCACCTCCTCCACCCGCCCGCACCCTTGGGTGCCAAAGCAGGCGAGCGCGGGGCGACGCTCACCTCTACCTCAGCGGGGGCCGGGGATCGGTGCCCCCACCCCGCGGCAGCGCGGCTCTGTGTAACTATTAAAGGAACTGAACGACAGGACCGAGCCGGGGATGAGGGCAACACGGTGCCCGTGGGGTGCGGATGTCAGGGTTGTGTGGGTGTGACACAGCTCAGCCCCGGCACACAGCTCCTGCAGCCCGCTGAGGGGATGAGAGTGGGATCGATGCAGCATTAATTGGGGTTTCACGTCCCCTGTCACTGCCGGGCAGCACTGGCCACGGTGCACATCGAGCGCCAGGACCCCAGGGGGCCGGGAGGGCACAGTTGGTCCCGCGTCCCCCCTCGTTACGCAGCTCAGGGGGCGATGTGCGAAGCCACGCTCCCCGGGGGGCTCGGGGACACAGCTGCTGTCACCTGAGTAACCAGCCCGGATCGATGCCCGCTCCCCGCGTCCCGCAGGGACTGTAATTGAGCGGGAGGGAGGAGATGGAGGGGTGCGAGGATGGAGCCAGGCTGGCAGGAGGAGCGCTGGATCCGGCCTCGGCAGCGGGCTGCAGGCAGGTGGCCGTGGCATCGCTGTGCCACCACCGAGATGGGGACGGGGATGGAGCCCTCCTCTGAGTCCCCGGCAGTGGGGACAGATTCGCTGCACACCATGCTGGGCTGCACAAAGCCAGTGCAGTGGCTTCAGGATCATCCTGTGACCCTATAAGCCCAATGCCCAAGCCCCAGGAACACATGAATTCTTCCCCCTTTTGGGGTGGGTTATCGGTGACCCTGTAGCACGGGGATTTGGGCATTCCTGCACACCACCTGCCCTGCTGCATAGGCTGCAGGAGTGGCGGTCCCCTCTAAACACAGCCCAGCGCTGCGTGCACAGCCCCCGGCCCCTGCTGCAGCCCCCAGACACTCCTGCTAACGAGGCCGCTTCTAATTGTCGCCTTTGTGGAACAAAGCGCAGCTCTTCCCTCTGAAGATGCCTCTCCCACAGCCCAGCTATCGATCCCTGGGAAGAAAGGCAGAGCGCACGGGGCCTCAGCCTGCTCCTCCAAGGAGATTTTGGGGTCACAGCGCTGCTGGGGCCATCCCACAGCTCCCCCTTACAGCCTGGTGGCCCCGTACAGATGCTCCCTGTAGGAGCACATGTAGAAGGACCAAGGTTTCTCGGGGCACAGCGGGTTTTGCTCTCAGCAAGGGGCACAGGAAGGTCCCCAAAGCCATCCAGCTGATGAGGCATCGCTGTTAGCACAGGGGTTTGAGCTGGGAGCCCAGCCTGGCATTAAATGGTGCCAATTGTGGTCTCCCAGCGGGGCACACCTCAGGGTGCTGCGGGGGCCCCCAGGCTTCTCCCCTTGACCCCAGAAGGTGCCTGGGCTGTGGCAGCTGCCATGAACTCATCCCATCCCTGTGAGGGACCCCAATAACTGTGAGTGCCAGCAGCCGCCGTTATACCGGCCCTGTGGGTCGATATCGGGAAGCTGAGGGCGATGGGGGGCCGGGGAGGCCCTGCAGCAGCCCCCCGCCCTTCAAAGCCCCATTTTCCCCCCCTTCCACGCCGCCGAGCGCCTCTCGCCCGCAGCAAGGAGGCAGCTATCGACCTCCCTTGAAGGCAGAGCCTCCCTCTGCAGTGCAAATCAGCATCGAGCGGCGCCGGCCGCCCGCAGGGGGGCTGCGAGCCCCCAAAACCCCAAAGCTCCCCCCCCCCCCCCCATCCCCATCCCCATCCCCCGCCATAAGGCCGCCATTAAGGCCCGCCCGTTGCCATGGCAACGGCATCCCCCTAGCAACGCGCCGCCATGGCAACCGGGCCGGAAGCGGACGTGCCAGAAAGCGGAAGAGAAGGCCGAGAAGATGGCGGCGGGGACGGTGGCGCTGGAGCGGCTGCGGTGGCGGCTGGAGGAGCTGGAGCAGCGCCTCGGCGGCGGCGCCTGCGAGCCTCGGAAGGTTCTGGGCCCAGCTCTGTCACCCCCGGTTTTGTTTTTATTACCCCCCCTCCCCCCCCATACCCCTCAGCCTCCTTGCCCGCCGCTGGCGGCAGGTAACGGGCCCGCCCCCTCCCTGTGCGCCCCTGCAGGTGGCCGACGAGCTGGTGAAGGTGCAGGTGGCGCTGAGCAACATCGCCGGCAAGAGGGAGCGCGTCAAGATCCTGTTCAAGAAAAGTGAGTGCTCCGGGAGGGGTCTGAGGCAGCTTGCGGGGCGCGCCGTGACCCCAAAATCCCCTCCTCGGACCCCAAAATCCCCTCCTCGGACCCCCAAAATCCCCTCCTCGAAACCCAAAATCCCCTTCTTGAAACCCAAAATCCCCTCCTCAGACCCCAAAATCTCCTCCTCGAAACCCCAAAATCTCCTCCTCAGAACCCAAAATCTCCTCCTCGAAACCCCAAAATCTCCTCCTCAAAACCCCAAAATCCCCTCCTCAGACCCCAAAATCCCCTCCTCGAAACCCCAAAATCCCCGTCTTGGTGCTCCCCAGATCCCAAAAGTCCCCCTCTCGGTGCCTCTGTGCTGTTGCTTAGTCCGCAGGTCACCCAGCAGGGGGTCGTCCTGTTTGTGCCTCTTCCCCAGAGCTGCTGAGGTGGGGAGCGGGCCCCTTCGGCCTTGAACAGTGCACAGCTGTGTGCTCTGCCTGAAATACAGCTCTCAAAGGGGATTTTTGCGTGTTCAGGCTAGCTGTGCCCTTGTGTCTGTCCCTTTTGTGTATGCTGGGAGTGGCGAGGAGCATGTACCACCACTTGTGGCTGAATCTGGGGAGCCTTCTCAAACCAAGGAACATCAGCTGCAGGCACTAGAGCCGTGCTTTGCCTCGTAAAGCCTCCTTGTGGCTGGGTTTCATGGCCCGGTAATGCAGAAGCAACATCAGGAGTGTTGGTGTGGTCCAAGTTTGCGGTGGCTGTTGAGTGTGAACATATAACCTGTGTATTTGTAAAGGACTTTAGGGATCCAGATGGAGGGCAGTTCTCTGGTTTTATTTCAAGGTTAGGAAGAGGCAGATTTCATTCACCTCCAGTATCATTGGCCAAATGAAAAGCGCAGTGTTGGAGGTGTCTGTAATAAAGCAGTTATTTAATTTGACTCGTTTGTAAGTTGTTGGTTGTAGTCTTCTAAAGTCAGCTGTTTTCAAGTGTTGCAGAAATCCCTGAATCTGAACAAAAGCAACCTCAAATAGGCAGGTTTGTTCTGTAGCCCATGGGGAACTGCACTTGTCAAAGTGATAACATCTCTCCTACTTGCCTTAAAACATATTTTTTCTTCTAGTCGAAGATGTAATAAAATACCTTGACCCGCAGTACATTGACAGGATGGCTGTTCCAGACACCATGAAGCAGCAGTTCATCTTGGCAGGTACAGCATGACATGAGAAGGAATGGGTTTTAGCACTGCAAAAGTTGTATTTTAATAAGGTTGATTGGGATGGAGTTATTTTTTTGCTTAGTTACAAACATTTGGAAGGATATCCTCTGTAGAGCTACCTGAAATGTGACTTATACAAGGATAGCCGTCACCCTCAGTGCTCCCTTGTGCATGTCCATGCTGTAGTTTTATCAGTTCCGATCTTAGCATTGATTGGTTTAACCATAAATTAATGAAAGGTTGAAAAGAAATTGGAGCTTGAACAGTTTTCCTTACTCTATTTCCCATATTCTGAGGCCTGTCAAAAAAACAGAGTTTTGGATGTACATGAAACACCTTCTGGCGTTGTCCTCTTTTGCTTCCAGAGAATTTGGTTCAGCCTTGTTCTAGTATAGTCTGGGAATGAAACTTGGTGGAGATTCTCCTGACTTAAGTTACTGTGAGTGAGAATCCAGGGGTGAGCATCACAAAATGCTAAATAAAATTACAAAAAAGCCCTTTTCTGTACAGCTGGGTCAGCTGGAACAGAGGAGCTGGAACACAAGTGTTTGTCCCAGCTGATGATCAGTTCAGAGTGAGACAAGCCCCTCTGTGAGGTGGGGGCTAAGACACTGCTCTGGCTTTTCCTGATGTTCCTTCTTGTCTCTCCCTGGTCAGAGGAGCAGGTCATTCCTTACCGAGCAGACCTCTTGGAGCAGGTGAAGAACCTCCAGCCCATCTTAGACAGTGCCTCCATCCAAGGTACGCCTGTTCCTCTGCAAGTTTGAGCTGCACGTGCTACCCCCAAGCTTTTGCCTGTGCTGTGACTTTTGCTGTGACTTGTCCCTGGAGAAGGAATGCTCCTTGTCTTGGTAACTTACCCCACGTGATACGAAACAAACAAAATGGATTTCTGTTCTGTGCTTCCAGCGGTTCCTGACCACGCAGCGAAACTGCAGCGACTCTCCCAGATCCAGATGCAGCAGCAGGTAGCGTGAGTGCTTGAGGCAGCCTTGACTAGCAGGGAGAAGGAACCATGTGTTGGTAACTGCACTGATGCCCCTGTATCTGCAGTTGTCTGAATTGCCTGTTTATACCGCTTACTTTCATTTGTCCAGGGTATTCGTGCTGCAGTGTTAAAGAGGTTTAAGCACATTGCAGGGGGAGAGCTAGCCGGGATTTCTGGTAACTGAGTCTGAATTGGAAAAAATCTTTGCCTACAATAAGCCTACTCAAAACAAAGGCTTGAATGCAATACATTGCAGTGGTTTTAACCAACTCCTGTTCCCTCTTTCAGTGGGACACTGAAGTGCTGTATTTCAGTCTCTGGAGGGGTTTTGATACTACCATGTTGTCTCTTTGCCCTTTCCTTCCCCATTTGAGCACTCCATGAGGTGGCAATGAGTAGACTGGGCATCGCCCAGTGCCTCCTTTCAGTGTTTCCCTGTGGGTTTTCATTCTGTCGCAAGTTGACAATGCTGAGAAAAGGTAGATGGCAAGCACAGCTTCTTTGGCACTTCCCAAATACAGCTGTTTCTTTGTAACCTTCCTCTCGTCTGCTGAAATGCTTTCAGCAGCACTGAGCAGCCAGGGCCTGAGCTTTAGTCCCAGGATTGGCCCTGTACTGCCAGGGTCTGGAATGACTGATGTCTTTTAGTTTATTTACTGCTGACTTGCTGAGGCTCTCTTCTTTGCAGGATCAGTGCAAGCAGTTTTCTGATGGTGTCAAGGCGCTCCTTGAAGACTACAACAAAACGGTATCCTTCTTGCTGGTGCTCTGGGCCTGACAGAACCGAACTGTCTGCCTGTCTCCTGGCCCACCTTGCCCCATCAGATGTTGGAAGCAGGCAATCCCCAGTCCCAGGTTTAACAGACAGTGCCCTTTCTGGTGTGGTGGTGCTTGTGTCCTTGTCATGCTGTAGAAAGCCCTTTGAGATGCAGCCTGTGCAGTGTTCAGAAGTTGTTCAGGACTCCCATTAACGTGTGGCACTGTGTGGTGGCTCCAGGCCTTGTCAGTTTGTCTGAGTAGGTTTTGTACACCCTGGTTTCCCACACCCTCTTTTTATTTTTTTGTCTCCAAAAGAATCAGGATTGTAATGATGCGCTCAGGCTGCCAGGGGTTCTTGGGTTGTACTCTGTGGTTTCTTCCCTGAAGTTTCCACACCTCTTTCCTTAAGAGCATTGTCCAGACCCTGCTTCTGTCCAAGCAGTTTGTCCAGTGGAATGAGATACTGATGCAGCTGGAAGCAGCCAAGGAAGCGAAACCTGTGGCAGAGTGATGGCAGAGCCGGGAGTGCAGAGAACCGCAGCCGGGGCCTTGGGATTCTGCTGGCCTTGGGTCACTCAGGAGATGCTGCAGCACAGCCTGCACTCTCTTGTCTCAGCATCTTTCCGCTCTGTGAATGTGCTGCGAGTGACACCGCAGGCTCTTGGGGGCACCCTGGCCTTGCGGCTGCACTTGCGATCACCCTGAATGAAAGCCACGCTCCTGCTGTTCTGTAATACGCCACTGTTTGTTGATCTTGCACTTCCTTATATCTTGGGTTGTAACATATTTAAAAATCCCTTCCTGCTGTTCCTGTGGACCGTAATAAAGCCCTGAAACACAACCTGCCTCGTCTCTGCTGGGTGCAGCCACGGCACAGACTGTGTGGCCGGGCTCAGGAGGGGAGATGTACGTACTGCCCGCTTGGCCTGTGCTTGATACTCCATGAGGAAATGTTACACCTGTGCACGAGAGGGAAGGGGTCAGCAGCAAGGTGGGTGAGCCCTGGAGACTGAGGCCATGTTCACCACCTTAGGGTGGCTTTCCCTAAGCAGTGACTGGCACAAACATGCGCAGGAGGTGGCTTCTCACAGCCTATCTCCATCCCATTACTAATTCATTGAGAATACGTCATTTCTATAAATACATGTATATAGAACCCTATAATAAATAAGAAATAAATAGTAACTAAAACAAACAATAAAATCACTAACTGTTAAGAATTCTGCTGGGGATTGAATACCCTCCCCCCCCTTCTTTTTCTCCCACTTCCAGGGAGTGCTGCCTGGAAACACGCTAGTTCTGTGTAATTTAATCCCTTATACATATTAATTCATTAAGAATTGTTCTAAGGAGACATTAAAGGTTTACAATAGATAGTTTCAACAGTTTTAGCTTTGTTAATGTCTTTGTTAATGCAGTCTGTCAGGTGTCAGTGTTACGTGATGCTTTTACCCAGGTATGAGTCCGCCCTTTCTCAGGCATTCTTACTGTCGTCTCAGTAGTCAGGAGCACTTACAATGCTCCATCACGCTCAGGTTACAGCATTGATTCTCTCCATGTCTGTATCAGAACCCAATCTCTTCATGGGCCCTCTAGTAATACCTTCCGCAAGCTGCTCACAGAATGCCTCATCCATCTCTACCTCCTGTTCAGGCGGTCTGTAACAAAAACCCACCAGCTCCTCCTGGTTGTCCCTGCTGCGTGCAGAGGTGCAGATGCCCTTCAGATGAGACATCTGCCTCACCCCCAGCTTCACCACTGTTCCCCGAGGCTCTCCTCTGCTGAGCCCTGTTTTATTCCCTTCCCCGTCCAAGCCAGTTGTCCTCTGGTGGGACAGCACACCTTGCCTGGTCTCCCTCAGCCCACCCTCCCCCTTCATCCCCAACACACACGATGCGGGAAGGCTCCCAGAAAACACACCTGAGTACAAAGAATTGGATTTATTTCCAGTATTGGAACTTGTGAGAATCACAAGCTCCATGGGCGCTGGCCCTGCCTCTGCTGTGACCTGTATGGCAGTAGTGCTCGGATGTAGAGCTCTGTGGTGATGCAGACGCCTTCTGCTGCCGATGGCAAATCCTGTCCCAGAAGGAGCGGGTGCTGTTGCCGCTCGGTTGCGCTGCAGTGCCCTGGGTGCCACAGGTGTGGCGCAAGTGGCACGAGCACGGGTATCTGGTGGTAGGGGCACTGCAGGGCTCTGAAGAGGAGCTGGAGTAGTACGAAATCAGTAAAAATGAAAATCACGGGCCCTCTAGTCATGAGAGAAGAAGGAAAAAAAAGGAATAGGATAAACTAACAGTTGCTCAAATTATATTGTACGTATGTGGTATAAGAAAGGTGTTGAGAGGTTTGTGAACCTGTAGTACTTCGTGTACTACCCCATGAGGAAACGGGAGGAATCAGGTGTCAGGTAGCTTGCATCAGCCACCAATGGCCCCAGGATAATGACAAAGTCAGTTTGGCAGCCCTGGTCTTTTTGTAACACTGTGTTGGCTGGGCTGGTGTCATTTTAAGGGACGAGCCAATTAACCATTACGGGTCAGTCAGGTTCAGAGCACTGAACTATCACGATCACGGATTCACCAATAACATACCACACCCTTACCCTTGTCACATTCAATGAGAACTATCACAGCTAAGAACAGTGCAGTTAAATGCAATTTATTACACCAACAGGTACACAGGTTCTTTGGATTGCCGGCAGTAATTTACTATCTTCAAAAGCAAGCTAGCTTGCATAAAATACAGAAGTGCACAGCCTGGAAACAAGACATTAAAAAGGCACCCCAAGACAGAAGACATTAAAAAGTCATCCCAATGGAGGGGGAGGGTAGGGGGAGAGGCTCGGCCAGTCAACTGATCCCAGGAGTCAGGAGGTCCTCAGGATGGTGTATTCCCTTGTGATGGTATCTCCCCTGACGATGGCATCTTCCCTAACATCTGCTCTCTCTTAGGCCAATTTATATTATTTTCTATCTTTTTGGTGGAGCTTGAGTGACTCTAGTCAAGCATATCTTTGTTATGATTGGTGAAAAGTTTTCCCATCTCCATTTAATGGAATAGGCTCTGAGAAATTCAGAGCATGTGCTCACTGAGCGGTGGTTGCACTTTGGAGGCGGGTAGCTTTTGGGATGGAGGTGTTTTTTGGTATTATAATGATATTATAATGAGAAAAAGTACACTAGAGTGCAGCATTTGTCAAATCATGACAGGTCATTGGCTCAGGGTAAAAAAAGTGCGGCTTATTGGTCTCGTTGTGCACAAGAACAATCGAGGCCCCACCTGGTACAGAGCCTAGCCGTGGTGTCTCCACTCCACTCTATGCTCTGTACTGTTTCTTAGAGTCAGCACACCAGGTTCCCCCAGTGCAATAGCATCTAAGGTTGGAAGCCTTGGGAATGCTCAGGTAATGCAGCTACACCCTACCCTGAAAGCCTCTTCAGTGCTGTACATTTTCTTTAAAATGTGAATATTAGTTTTATTTTCCTAGTTACTTTGGGCAGTTATATCACATAATCCACCCTGTGACTATAGTCACTCAAGCTTCATGACATTCGGAATATGTCAGGAATACCACATACATTCTCAGGAGGAGGTTTATCACAGAATTGTGTCACAGAACTGTAGGGGTTGGAAGGGATCTTGAGAGATCAGCAGGTCCAACCCCCCTGCCAAAGCAGGCTCCTTAGAGCAGGCTGCCCAGGTAGGCGTCCAGACGGGCCTTGGATATCTCCAGAAAAGGAGACTCCACAACCCCCCTGGACAGCCTGTTCCAGAGCTCAAATATTGTGTGTGTGTACATTGTGTGGGGATACTAAATGTTCCATCATGATCCAGAGTTTAACACACAAACTAAAAGCATAATACAATGACTATTAACAAAACAAAAAGAGGGTGCAACATTTTGTTGAAGATTCCTGTGCCAGCTGGTGACCATCCAAAGTGCCCCACCAAGGGTGTTTTTCATCTCTCTTTACTCTTTCCATCACTTGATAGAGAAATTGTTGTCCCACATTTTTAATTATATAAGGACCTGTGCTGAAGATGCAAGGAGTCAGCTTCACATAAGGCCAAATATTATCTGTGGGGGCAGAGGCCTTTGCAGTTGATGAAGAAGTTTTAGTATTGATAATTCTGTGCCTCTGTAACCCCAAAAGACAGTACACAATTATAGGTTTGGTGAAAGTAAAATTGTGCCAGCAATCAGAATTTGGTTTGGTTATTTTGTTATAATCAGTCTTAATTTCAGGTGGCCTATTGTAAGTAGATCCATTAGTTATTCAGCAACTGACTTGTATTGTCTGGCTAGAAGTGGCTTGAAGTTCAGCCATTCTTAGAGAATTGTTCCAACTCCATTCATCTTTGGAAAATATTTTGTTTCCATGTAGAACTAAAGTAGAGAGATTTCGGTCCTTTTTGTTTTGAGATGTTCCAGTGCTTGTGCTATACTGTGATAATGCATGGTTAGATGCCACGGTGAAACACCTCAGCTCCATGCACAACCACAGTATCTAAGTTTAACTTTTCCTTGGTGGAATGTGTTTCCATAATTCAGTGTATTTGACATACGCTTGGGACCACAGCCGTCCTGGGTCTCCTTGCTATAAACCAGAAGAGAGTGCATCAAGGCCAGGGTTAAGCATAGCATTATTAATCCAGACTGTTGGTTTGTGGTTCTCCAGCTGTCCACATGCAGTTCACTCAGGATTCCTGTGAACACAACAGAAAATAAAATATGTTCATTTGTATTCAACAGACAGGGTTAGAAAGAGGATGAAAAAGCAATCTTTGACTTCCTGTGTGTAGAGACATCTGGGAGTAGTTAGCACTATTGCTACTGTTAGATACACAGAGGGCTTTCGCTATCTCTGCCATGTTTGGAACTGCAGCAGTCAAAGGTGTGGTGTTAGCATCTAACTGTCTGTAATCCACTGTAAAATGCCATTGCCTGGTTGGTTTCTTTACTGGCCACACTGGTGAATTGTAAGGTAAATGACTCCTTTTAATAATGCCTCTTTCTTCCAATTCTGTTACCACCCTGTCAATCCCCATAAGTGCTGCTGCTGGCAACAGATACTGCCGAACATTAGTGATTTTAGTGAGGGGTGAGGGTATGGATGTTTGTAACAGATTTAGTTTCACTAAGTCGGAATCCCTTTCATGTGTTGTGAAACTCCACACAGTTCCATCTGGGAGTTTCCACCCATGCCCATGCACTATGTCAAATCCTAAGATATTAGTATATGCAGCATCAACTAATACTTTTGCTGTGGTTTATTTTTGTTCCCCTGGCAGACGGAGTGAGTTTTTGTTTGTGGTGGGGCATTGTTTTTCCACACCACACCTGCATCAACCAGGTGTTATGCTCAGGGCTTGTGCAGTTTCATCTATAACTACTGACATTTGGGCCCTGGTGTCAATAAGAAAATTTACCAATATTTTTCGGGGTCCAATGGGAATGGCAATGATAGGGTCAGAGTGTTCATTAGAGAGCCATTGAATTGCTAATACCTGCTGAGCAGAGTGGCTCACTGCCCTCCCCGGGGACTGGAGTTTTTTTGATGAGATTCTGCATTGTCAATTAGGCTTGGTGCAGAAGGTGTACTTTCCTTATGGATTGTTTTTTTTTTTTTCAGTTAGGCAGTTCTCCCCAGATGGAATATTTTTCTTGCCCAGAGATCAGACTAATGTACGGAGGTCCTCCATAGAGGCACCATGCAAGATTGATTGGGGTGCACCCAAAGCTAGGGCCCTATGCCACAACTCACCCTGTTCTTTATTAAATTTGAACCTCTCTTTGAAGTTGGGGTATCTGGGATTTTGAGTGTGGATTCGGTGGACTCGATGAGGGTGGTCTTGGGACTTAATATTGGATGAGCTAATCCAGCCCATTCAGCATACGTACTTATCTATGTCTTGTACAAATTCACTCCAGGTGGGAATGGGGGAGTTCAGATTTCGCCTACAACCACAATCACCATCCCTATGAGCAGCTTGTACACGAGCCTCTGTATTTGCTAAAAACATCTTAAGATAGTCAGGGAGTCCACCGATGAGAGGAGTTAATTGAGCTAAGTCAATAGGAGCTAACATCAGGGATTTCCTGAATTCATCTCTTTCATATATCACCTGAATGCAGGCTGCTTTCTGTACTGCTGCAGCCAGGTCAAAATAGCTTGTGGCTCTAATTTCCAGGGGTTCCCCTCTCTCCTGGGGATCTATACCCCCTGCCCAGTATGCCACCCATACAGTTATAGAGTAGTTATGGTCTCCTGGTGTGGTGGTTAAAAATACTCCAGGTCCCCAAAAACCTCCTGCCTGTTCCTCGCTCAACATAATTCAATCTCTTCCTTCAAGAAGAACTCGCCACACAAAATCAACTTCTGATTTTCCTGACCACCTTGAGAACTTCTGTATTTTAACAAGCTCTACTGGTGGCCATGGAATTGTTCGCACAGTATTGTAGATTTCATCATCATCATCAACAGTAGTCTCAGTTTTAACCAAAGGTCTCGAGGAAATCGATTGAGATTCAGAATCAGCAATCTCTTTGACATTATCATCAATGTCAAACCAAAAATCACCATCCCAGCTTTCAGGGTCTGCAGTGTGCATCAACCTACGAACCTTTTTAACTGAAGCAGAAGGCCGTGCTTTATTTAACAGGTGAATAAACCTCTCCAGTAATTGTTTAAGACGACTGTTCTCATTCACAAGTTTATCATTTTCAGCCACAAGTTTATCATTTTCAGCCACAAGTCTGTTATTCTCATTCATAAGTTCCTCACTTTCATTCAAAAGTTCATCATATTCAGCCACAAGTTTATCATTTTCAGCCACAAGTTTATCATTTTCAGCCACAAGTTTGTTATTCTCATTCAAAAGTTCATCATTTTCATTCAAAAGTTGATCCACTCTGATTCCTAATGTTTTTCCTGTCTCCCTTTCAAAGCCCAATGATGACTTCAACATCTTAATCTCTGATTTCAAAGCTGTATAATCCACATCAGAAATGAGTTTAGGAGTAGAAGTTTTCCTAGCTTCTTGCTGAGCAAAAGACAAACGCCGAGGCTTCTGAGAGGGGTTCTTCTGCTTGTCCTCCAGCCTCCGGATCACCTTCTGGATGGCTGGGCTGGTGAGAGAGGAGCAGATTTTCTTCTCCTTCTTAGTGGTGAACCTGGGGGACCAGGCAGAAAGGTTTGCTGTGGGGGTGTGCAGGGATGTGGGGAGCACACAGGGAGGGCTGGGGTGAAGCCGAACCACGCCGGGTGGCCCCGGTTGCCCCAGGGTACTCACACGACGGCACGCAGCAGGCATCCCGTCTCGGGGCCCTGGATCCTGTAGGACTTCACCCAGGCGCTGGGGATGTTTTTCTTGCTGGTCCTCAGGCAGCAGTCTGAGGCCACATTGTCAACACCTGCAGAAAGGAGGAGATGTGGGATTTCGGACCCTTCCAAGCCCTTTTCGGCACCTTCCCAGTCTGGGGGAGCGCAGCACGATGGGCTGAGGGCATGGGATCGCTCGGTGTCATTTTGGGGAAGGATGCTGTGGTGGTTTCATGCTGACGGGCAGCTGAGCTCCACCACGCCGCTCTCTCACTTCCCCTCCTCAGAAGAACAGGGGGAGAGAACAGGATGAAAGAAAGCTCATGGGCTGCGATAAGGACAGGGAGAGCCCTCGCAGGTACCATTAGAGGGAAAACAGTCTCAGCCTGCAGTAGATTAATGTAGTTTATCGCCTGTTGCTATACAGAGCAGTGAGAACTAAAAGCAAAATAAAATACCGTCCCTCCAGTCACTCTCTTCTACCTCCTCCTCCTGACCAGCACAGGGCAGCAAAGACAGAATGGGAGCTCTGCACCCCAGTGCCCTGCCACAGGGATGTGGAGTTGACCCCTGTGCAGCTGGAGGGGGAATCATAGAATATCCAAAGTTGGAAGGGACCCATAAGGATCATCAAGTCCAAGTCCTGGCACCGCACAGGTCTACCCAGAAGTTTAGACCATGTGACTAAGTGCACAGTCCAAACACTTTTTAAATTCAGACAGGCTTGGTTCAGTGACTACGTCCCTGGGGAGCCTGTTCCAGTGTGCAGCCACCCTACCGGTACTTCCTGATGTCCAGCCTAAACTTCCCCTGCCGCAGCTTAACACCATTCCCGTGGGTCCTATCACTGGTGTTTACAGAGAATAGGTCACCTGCCTCTCCACTCCCCCTCACGAGGAAGTTGTAGACAGTGATGAGGTCCCCCCTCAGCCTTCTCTTTTTCAGGCTGAACAGGCCCAGTGCCCTCAGCCACTCCTCATACGTCTTCCCCTCTAGGCCCTTCACCATCTTTGTCACCCTCCTCTGGACACTCTCCAGCAGTTTCATGTCCTTTTTGTACTGTGGTGCCTAGAACTGCACGCAGTACTTGAGGTGAGGCCGCACCAGCGCAGAGTGGGACAGTCACCTCCCTCAACCAACTAGTGATGCCGTGCTTAATGCACCCCAGGATAGGGTTGGCCTTCCTGGCTGCAAGGCCAGTCTGTACGTAAAGCCAGGGTTGCCCTGTCCCAGGTGCAAGTCCCAGCACTTGCTTTTGTTAAACTTCATGCGGTTGGTGATTGCCCAGCTCTCCAGTCTGTCCAGGTCTCTCTGCAAGGCCTTTCCACCCTCATCAGAGTCCACAACTCCTTCAAGTTTGGTGTCGTCAGCAAATTTGCTCAAAACACCTTCTAGTCCTACATTCAAATCATTTATAAAGACATTGAAGAGGACTGACCCTAAAATGGAGCCTTGAGGGACCCCACTAGTGACCATTCGCCAGCCAGATGTGGCCCCATTTACCACAACCCTTTGAGCCCTGCCCATCAGCCAATTGCTCACCCATCATATGATGTTTTTGTTAAGTTGTACGCTGGACATTTTGTCCAGTAGGATCCTACGGGAAACCCTGTCAAAAGCCTTGCTGAAGTCCAAAATGATCACATCAGCTGGTTTCCCTTGATCAACTAGATGGGTGATCTTATCATAAAAGGAAATCAAATTTGTTAGGCAGGACCTACCCCTCATGAACCCATGCTGGCTGGGACCAATGATTGCATTGTCCCCCAGGTGCTCTTCAATAACTTCAAGAATCATCTTCTCCATAATTTTACCAGGCACTGACGTGAGACTGACAGGCCTGTAATTGCTAGGGTCTTCCTTCTTGCCCTTCTTGGAAACTGGGACAACATTTGCCAGCTTCCAGTCTACTGGGACCTCTCCAGATTCCCAAGAGTGTTGAAAAATAATTGAGCGGTCCCACAATGCCATCAACCAGCTCTTTAAGCACTCTGGGATGAATCCCATCCAGACCCATGGACTTATATGGATCCAGGTGGATCCAGGTGGAGCAGCAAATCCTGCATACGTTCAGTGTCGGTTGGAAGTTTGTCTTTCCCACTGTCGTGGTCCTCCAGCTCAGGGCACCCTGGGTCCCGAAGCCCATCATCAACGTTGAAGACAGAGGCGAAGAAGGCATTAAACGTCTCTGCCTTGCCTATGTCATTGTCTGTGAGGAGACCTTCCTCATCAAGTAGTGGACCTATGTTTTCTTTGGTCCTCCTTTTTCTGTTAACATACCTAAAAAAACTTTTTATTATCTCCCACAGACATGGCCAGCTTCAACTTTAGTTGGGCTTTGGCCCCACAGATTTTCTCCTTACAAACACGAACAGCATCCCTGTATTCCTTCCCCATTCCTAACCCTCCTTCCAGCAGCCATACACTTTCTTTTTTTTGCCTAAGCTCCAGTAGAAGATCCCTGGTCAGCCAGGCTGGCCTTCTGCCGCACCTGCCTGACTTCTGGTATTTTGGAATCACCTGATCTTGTGCTTTTCGGAGGCAGTGCTTAAAGACTGACCAGCACTGATGGACGCAGTGCCTTCAGAAGCAGTTTCTCGGGGGACCTTGCTGACTAGTTCCCTGAGCAGCCTGAAGTCCACTTTCCCCATATCCAGGGCTGAAGTTTTGGTGGCAGTTTTCCTTCTGTCACCATAAATTCTAAACTCAACCACTTCATGGTCACTATGACCAAGACAGCCGCCAATTGCCACATCTCCCACAAGACCCTCTCTGTTCTCCAGCAACAGATCTAGGAGTGCACCTTTCCTAGTTGGCTCCCTTAGCACCCGCACCAAGAAGTTATCATCTAGGTGCTTTACAAACCTCCTGGATTTGCTCGTGTCAGCTGTGTGGTGATTCCAGTTGATGTCTGGCAAGTTGAAATCCCCCATAAGGACAAGGGGAGTTGATCTCAAGACATCTCATAGTTCTGCAAAGAATAATTCATCGGCTCTGTTGTTCTGGCCAGGTGGTCTGTAATAGACTCCCACTACGACATTCCCTTTATTTGTTCATCCCTTAATCCTTGCCTCAACTTTGCCATCTCCAACATGAAGTTCCACACAGCCCAGACCATGCTTCACATACATTGCCACCCCACCACATCACCTACCCTGCCTGTCCCTCCTGAGGAGCCTGTAACCATCTATTGCAGCACACCTGCCACAGGACTCATCCCACCAGGTTTCACTTTTGACAATGATGTCATAGCTGTGGGACTGGGCCAAGACCTCTAGCTCATTCATTTTGTTCCTCATACCGCGTGTGTCTGTGTAGAAGCACTTCAAATGTGCCTCCCTACATGCAGCACCTTGTGGAGCTCACCGAAGGACCTCACTGGCACACAGTCCCTCTGATTCTAGCGTACCATCCTTTAGCTCATCACCGGCATGCCTGGTTTTATCCCCTTCCCCCTTCAACTCTAGTTTAAAGCCCTATCTATCAGCCCTGCCAACTCCTGAGCCAAAATCCTTACCCCTCTCTGGGAGAGGTACATCCCATTGGTGACAGCAGGCCTGGCATCACGTAGACCTTCCCATGATCAAAAACCCCAAAGTTCTGTCGGTTGCACCACTCCCAAGGCCATGTGTTAATGTGGTAAGCCTGCTTGTCAGCATCGATCCCCCCTGTTGGAAGGACAGAGGCAAACACAGTCTGTGCCCCTGATCCTTTAAGTTGTCACCCTAAACTCCCTTTTGATCACTCTCGGACTTCTCATTGCTACCTTGTCATTACCAGCCTGAAAGACCAGTAGTTGGTAGCAGTCAGTGGGCCGTACCAGGCGCTTGACTTTCTTAGCTAAGTCTCTCACCTGAGCCCCGGGGAGAGAACAGACTTCCCTGTGGGTTGGGTCCGGTCAGCATATCGGGTCCTCTGTCCCTTTCAAAAGGGAGTCCCCCATGACAATAACCCTTCTGTCTTTCTTGACAGATGATGTTGCAATGCGGGGGGTAGGTTGCCTTGCCTTAGGCACCCTTTCCATCTGGGACGGGCTTTCATCTAATTCATCATTCTGACTGTTTTGTTCTAGAGCCTCATACCTGTTATATAGCTGTAGATGGGAAGGTGAGGTGGGCAGGGACAGGGCTCGCCTACCACCCTGAACAGGAACCTGCCTCCATTCGCCCCCTTGGCCTGGGTTTCCTCCTTCTGCCTGATGGGATGAGGGAACTTTCGTCTTCTGCATGGCAGGAGACACTTGTGCTGTGGCAGGCTCCTGAGTCTGTCTCAGAGAGGGCTGAGTACACCTCCACCAGTCAATTTCCCTCTCTGACTCCCTGATGCTCCTGGGCCTGCTCACCTCCTCCCGAAGCTCCACTACCTTTGGGTTTGAGCAGCTCTTCAACCTGGGCACACCTCCCACAGGCATACCCCTCGCTGCTGCTCTCGGACACGGACAGAAGACTCAGGCACACCCTGCAGACCACGACGTGGATCATGGTGTTTCCCCAAGCCCTCCGTCTGAGTAGCCACATTGGTGACTGTGGCTGGAGAGGCTGCAAGAGATGCTGAGGCCATGGTCTTCTGCCTGGTTGATACCATGGCCAGGTGCCTCGCAAGCAGGCTACAAAAACAAATTGGAAAGACCACGGCGGAGGAGTGGCGAGGGGCCCTCCATGCTCGCCCTGCCTGCACGCACTGCTGCACTAACTGCCATGCCCTGACCTTCTGCCACACCACACCCTGTCTGCCCGTCCTGGTCGCTGTGCTCCCTACGGGCTGCCTTTGAACATCAGCCTAGAGGGCCACTGCTGGCTCTGCCTACGCCTCATCAGCCTCCCCGAGTCAGGGAAACTGAGGAAGGGACAGGCTCCTTGCGAGGGGCTGCTCCTCAACCTCCTGCCCCTGCCCTAAATCTCAGGGGGCTGCCACCCCACCAGCCGGCTCCAACACCCAAACACCCCCCCTGTGCCACACCACCCGTGGGTCCAGCACCCTGCATGGAGCCCAGGGGGGCTCGGACCCCTGTGTCCCCCTCACCTTCAGCCGGGAGGAGCAGGAGGGCAGCGGCCAGCAGGAGCAGCGGCAGGAGGATGCGCAGAGCCATGGCGAGCTGCAGGGGGTTTGGGAGCAGGGTGCACGCTGCTGTCCCGCTCCTCGGCTGCTCCTATTTATCTCCGGACACTTTGCTTTCATTTTCGGCCCCCCCTGGCAGGCCGCCCACCAGCCGGCCGGAGGCTGGGTGATGGAGGGGAGGGAGGGGGGATGTTTCCTGTAAGCAGCGAGCCCCGCTTTGCGGATGTGTCTTGTCTTGTCCCCAGCTGCCCAGCACGGAGCGGGGTGCCAGGTGGGGGGCATGCCCAAGACGCGGCCCCCACCACATCCAGATGTGTTTGCGGGCTCCTGTTTCCTCCCCGGCCCCACAACCTGCCTCTACAAGCTCCCAGCCGCTGCTGTTTGCCTGTTTGCTCCCCCGGCAGGGACCCTGGCGGGTGGCCAAGCCATCCAGGAAAGCAAGGAGTGAATTTTGCTACTTCCCCACCCTGTGCTCTGCTCCCGAGCCAAGTCACCCGTGCGGGTGAGAAGGTGACCCTGCATTCCTGCCCCCGAGACCCCAGGGGCTCCTCAGATTTCTGAGCACATCTGTAGGGCTGGGGTGTGCTGGGGCTGAGCTGCAAATGGGGCTGGGGGTGACAGCACAGCCTGCTCCCCTTTTGTAAGCGTGAAAACCCCGAGTGTCTGCATGCTCCCTGTGCTGGCACTGATACCGGATTGTGGGGAGCTGAGGATGAGCAGGGACCACAACCAGCTGAGGAGGGGGCTGCTGGGCTCCTCCTGAGGTCCAACACAAACGACAAAATGCAAAGCCCCAGGCTGGGCACGGTTGGCAAGAAGTGGGTCTGGGGGAGCTGAGCTGCAAGGGCAAAGGCAACCCTAAGAGCATCTCCTGCTCTCAGCTGGGGATGGCCAGAGACCTCCACAGCTTCAGGCCATGGACTGGAAGAGACCAAAGATGAAGGTTTCACGGCCAGGGATGGAGATTTCACAACCACTATGGGCAACCTGTTCCAACGCTCGAAATGTTCTCATGTTGAAAGCATTTTCCCCACTATTTAATCGGAATTTCCCTGTGTGCATCCTGTGCTGCTGCATCATGCCCTGTCCCAGGGTCTCTCTGAGAAAAGTTGAGTCCTGGCATCTCCCCAGCTCTCCCCAGGCAGCCCCCACCAGCGAGAAGTCCCCTTCATCTCCCCAGCCCTGGCTGCAGCACCCCACTGCCCTCGTCTTGGGCTGCTGCTCCTGCAGCCCCAGGACTCTTCACCAGTTGCTGATAAGGACCCTCAGAAGCAGTTATCAAGGGCAATGAGTAATCTAGGGGGAGAAAAAAGTCCCAACTTCTGCAGAAAGCAGAGCAGTGAGCCTTGGCTTTCGCCCCCTCATTGGGGAGGAGGCAGTGGGCTGTGGGCAGCAGCAAGTTGCCTGTGGATGCATCTCCTGGTAGTGTGGGTCCCTATGTGCCGGCTCAAAGGCACAGCCCCAGCCCGGCCCGCCTAGCGTGTGAATTCAGTGAGATTTAGGAAGCTGCTGGGAAATGAGGCGGCTGAGTGTTGTCGGAAAGGAAACCGCTCCTTCTCCATTTCACGGCTCCGTGCCCAGGGACGTGGGACTCGGTGCTTGAAAACAGGCAGAGCCGTGCTGCAGACACCCAAGCATCCGCCAGGCAGCCCCGCTCTGCCCCGCGCCCCTGGCACCCGCCCGACCCCAAAAATCTCGCCCGGAGGGGCCAGATCCAGTGCCCGCAGCAGACAGGAGCTGGCACCCGTGGCAAGCTCGGCAGGAGGGGAGAGACGGAGACAGAGAAACTGAAGACAGCCAAAGGGAAATGAAGCACAACATTGGGAAGGCTCAGGAGGGTTTGCAGAGTGTGTTAGAGCAGCGTGTGAGCTGGGAACTGGATGTGCTTCAGCCAGGAGTGGAAAACGCTCTGCCCCCATTTCAGCCCCGAACAGGGAAGAAGCAACCCAATGCCCTGGCAGAGGTGGAAAATACAAGTGCCTGGGGATGGAGAGAGAGCCAGGAGACAGGAGGTGAAGCCCCGCGGGGTGAGGAGCTGCCAGGCACTGGCGCCAGGCACAGGCTGGTGGAGGGGCAGCTCCGCGGAGCCTGCAGCCGAGGGGGCTGAGGAGTGGCCGAGCACTTCCCAGCAGCTGTATGGAGAGGAAACTGCTGCTGGACGGGGAGGAAATGGTCAGGGGGGGCTCAGGGAGCCCCACTCCACAATGCACAGGCCTCACCCAGCCCGGATACAATTAAACAATAGGAAGAAGTTATGAGCTCCATCTCCAAACTCGGCCGGTCGTTAGCAGCGGTACGGGGCAGAGCGCTGGAGGCCCACTGTAGCTGACTCTGTAGTGAGGGCAATGCTTGAAGGCATGAGGGGTGGACCGAGAGTGGTTCTGGCAGCCAGGAGCAATGCAGGAGGGATGCTCTGCTCCACCACAATGACCTGCATGAGGCAGAGCAACCTCCCTGCAGGCACACACAGAGCCGTGGGTAACCCAGGCACACCAAAGACCTCGGGAGATGGGATGGGACATTTGGCCTGGCCCCCAAACTGGTCTCCAAAGGAGGCTGGGGGTAAGCATAGGGTGAGCAGTGTTTGGAGCTGGGGTTCTGCTTGAGATGCTCCAGCCTGCCAGCAAGCGTCTGAGCCCTTTGGTTCAGCGGGTGGCTGCAGGTGGTGTCTGATGGGCTGGGAGCAGCGAGGGGCTGGAAATTCCCTTTGGGGCTGGGGATCAGGCGAGGCGGCTGCTTGCAGCGTGGGAGCAGCAGGGAAGAGCTGCAGGGGCAGCACCGGGACACCTCAGCATCATTACTTCTTCCTGCTCAACCCATGAGCTTTTACTTTTCTACCTTTTTGTGGTGCTTGATGTCTTTCTAGGTGTGCAGGGCAAGATGGGCAGGGTGCTGGTCCCTGGGGCTGCCCTGCCACCCTCCTCTTGTGAGAAAAATCTCAATATTTTTTTTCAGACAGGATCTTCTGTGAAGCAATTATATTTGCGATTGCAATGGAGGCATCCTGCCAATTAGGAATTTATTTTAGTAAACAAATCATAACCTTTTATTCCCTATTACCCAATGCCTGATCACCTCCCCTGTTTCCTCATTGGCTGAGTACTACAGGTTCACAAGCTACTCGACGCTCCTCTATACCATGTATGTGCATTTATTTTTTTTTTTTATCAACCCTTTAATTTCTCCTTTTTTTTTTTTTAGTGTGTGTGTGTGTGTGTGTGTGTGTGCGTGTGTTTTGAGAACTTGTTATTATTATCAGCATCATTATTAATGTTATTTCTCTTCCTTCACAACCCCTGAGCTTTTACTTTTCTTTCCTCCCAATTCTCTCCCCCATCGTGCCAGGCTGGGGGCTGCAGCCTCTTGGAGTGAATGTGCAGCTCAGGGGCCACACGCTGCTCCTTGAACAGGAACGTGGCCTCTGGTCTGTAGAAGTAGACAGGAGCTGGGCAGGAGCGTGTTGTCATGGAGGCCTCTGGGCAGGCGATGGATGCCCCAAGCTTCTTCTGCTTGACCTGATCTGGATGGAGGAGGGGCTTGGGCTTGGTGAAGCTGACACTGGGACTTCGTGGTCTAGCCCCAGCACAGAATTTCTTGGGACAGTGCTTGATGCAGCTTTACAATGGACCGCTGCACTGGCCAAGGGAATTGGTGCAGCTTTACCTCCAGGCACTTTCTTGCTATGTGCATGCTTAGCTTGCTGCAGTCCTCTTCCTTCAACTGCAGCTTCTTGATCCCAAGGGGCACTGCAGTGTGAGGCTGTTTCCCATCTTTGACATCAGCCATGCATGGATCCAGGATGATAACATAGTCAGTTTGGCAGGCCTGGTCTTATGCAGTATCTTGTTGGCCAGGCTGGGAAGCACTGGGAGGGCCGTGGACAATCCAAGAGTCCACTGGGACAACTCCTGTGGAGATCGCTCCTTGCATTGCTTCTACCACCAACGTCACGCCTCTTCTGGGTGAGGGACGATCATCCCCATTGCTGACGGCGCACTGTTGGGGCGTACCCCAGCTGGTGATTCTTCAGCACCTCTGCCTGCTTGGGGCCCTGAACATCAGTCCTGAAATGGCTGGGGGGCAGCAGAGCCTGCAGGTGTTTCCTGTTCATGGTAAGCATGTCTGGTTTCCCTGTGTTTCTCTTTCCAGAGTCTGTGTGCCAGCCAGTTGGAGATCCATCGTCACTTTCTTTCGTCTGTAGAAACTGGTCCTTTTGTCCTGTGGGCCAAGCTGGGAAATGTTGGAGGGGCCATGGACAACCCAAGAGCCCACAGGAGTTCCTCTTCTCTGTGTGGCAGCCACTTCTCCTTCTGAAGAATGTGCTTGCAGACCATGTTCTCAGGGCTGAGAAGGACCGGTTGGTTCATGGGCAATAGAGGAGGCCTCAGGAATTCCCCATTCCTCTGAGGCAGCCCTCCATCTGGGTGGAAAATGCTGGCACGCACAGTGCTGCCCTGTGTTGCTGGCTGGTTCCTGGAAGCTGCCATCAAGTATTGCTCAAAGCCAGGTACTGGCAGACATGTGGTGGGCTTTGAGCTAATGATCCACGGGTCCTGAGAGATGACAAAGAGGATGACAGCCTGTGAGAAATAAAGTTGTGTTTTTGCAATAGAAGGTACTTTTGCAATGGAAAATTCCACTAACCTTGCATATTCAAACGGGAGCGTGCAGCACAGCAGTGGGGAGTATGTTAAGTAGAGAAGGGGAAGGTCCTGGTGTACCAAAATAAGAGGGATAGCTAAGGAAAACAGGATAAGTAGTATGAAATCAGTAAAAACAAAAACCACCAGCCCTTTAGTCATGAGAGAATAAAGAAAAAAAAAATGAAAAGGACAAACTAACAGTTGGTCAAATAAAAGTGTACATATGTGGTATAGAAAGGAATCAACAAGTTTGTGAACCTGTAATATTCAGTCAATGAGGAAATGGGAGAAATCAAGTGTCAGGTAATAGGGAGTATGATAAACTTTTATGATAAACTTATGATAAACTTTTACTGTGCACTTCTACCTGCCAGACACCCGCCATTGCAAATGTGACTAAAATAGCTTCACAGAAGATCCTGTCTAAGAAAATTATTGAGCTTTTTCTCACATTATGTGCGTAGAAATCATGATATGGAGGCTCAGAGAACTGCCCTGTGCTGGCAGCAGCAAGCACCCCCGACATGCATCCTGCCACTGCTTTCCGAATTGGCTGCTCAGAGAACAGCAATGGCTGCCTGCTGCTGCGCCTTTCCGATTTCTGTCTTGAGGAGCGTCCAGGCTC